AAATAATACTTTCTCCGTCCATATACCATGTCCACGTTGCCGTTTCAGTCCGTCCCACATGTCATGTCACTTTTATTTTTTGGAAAATAATTACACACTTTAATCTCATTTTAAATTTTTTAATTTTAATTAAACTAATTTGTTATCTTAATCTTAATTTATAATTATTTATATTATAAAATAATTATTTTCACTAATATATTCTTAATTATTTACTAATTATACCCTTTCTGAAATATCGTATTTACTGTATAACAGGCACAGTATCTAGGACCGAGGAAGTATTTAACAGAGTATTTTTTAAAAATATATATATAATTCATTTAGTAAAATATGATAAATTTAGTAGAAGAGAGAGAACCGTCGGATCTCGATCCAAGGGCTCCTGGATAACAGTGCTGCTCGGATTTTCACAACTATTTCTTTTAATTATTTTCTGTCCAATCAACGTCAACATAAAAGTCTCCATTAATAATCATAATAATAATAGTAATAATTAATAATTAAATAAGCTCCCTGATGCGACATAAATTCTATTTGCTTTCTTCACGGTTTTTTATTGATTCAAGAAATATGATTTACGCTGTGTTACCCTACATATTTGTTCATTTGATATTATTTATTTTTAAAATAATATTAGAAATGTCTTATTGGAAGTTAGACACCGGAATTAAAAAATAACAGTATTTAATTGAAAGTAGGTATAAAGTAGAATGTAAAATACTATAATGCTCTTGCTTTTTTAAAGATTTTAAAAAATAGATTAGAGTAATAATTATGGATAATTTAGAAAAGTAGGAATAATTTTGTTATAAAGTGGGTTATTAAATAAGAAAACAAGACAATTGTTTTGAGACGGATAAAAATGAAAAAACAAGACAACTCTTTTGGACGGATGAAGTATTAAATATATTTTTTATCTCATAAAATATCAAATAAAATACTAATTTTTTATTTTTTCCAAACTTCCCAAATTTAAAAAATTTCCAAAAATCCATATCTAAACAAACCCTTATTTTGAAAATCTTTTAAGAGTCAATTTTAAACTTTAAAGAAAAATACTCCACTATTCCTCCATTGTATGTACGCCTTTTGAGTTTTTACACTGTATGTTTGTTTGGAGATTGGATTTTAAATATATTATTTATTTAATTTTTTTCTAAAAAATATTTTATTTCATTTCAAATATCGTGTCTGTTATACTGTAGATATGGTATTTTAGGAGAAGTGTAATTAGTAGATAATTAAGAATGTATTAGTGAAAATAATTATCCGATAATATAAATAATTGTAAATTAAGATTAAAATAACTAATTAGTTTAATTAAAATTAAAAAAAAAATTAAAAAAATTTAAAATGAGATTAAAGTGTGTAATCATTTTCCAAAAAAAGAAAATGACATGGTATGTGGGACGGATAGAAGCTGCAACGTGGTCATGATATCTGGGACGGAGGGAGTATCAAATTAAACACATATTTTTTATTTTTTAAATTATACTAAAAATTAATTTTACATTCAAAACATCACATCAACACCTATATATATTACATCATACAACTATTCAAATTCAAAATTTTTACAATTCAAATCCCAATTCAAAAAATATCTTTTGCGTTATTGTATTTAACATTAAAAATATTTTTATATTTGTATAATTTTTTGTAAAAATATCATTTTGTTAATATTATACGACAATAATTGAAGTATTTATGCAATTATTTTCTTAATTTGTACTACGTTTTGATATAATAATTAATATTAAAAAAAAAATATGCAAAAATTAATTGAAACTCAGACGGAGGTAATACTATTTTATTGATCATTGAAAATGTATAAGAGATTTGAATATTTTTGTTATTTGACTTTATGTATAAAATAACTATATATGTAATAATTGTTTGTGATTTAAGTAAAAGTTAATAGTATTTGGAATGAGTCTATAATTATTTTTACTAAAATATAAAAAAAAATATTTTTGAATGAGAAATACAAATACTAAATATAATACTTTGAGTTGGGACCAATGATATGTTTTGTTCTTTTGTGGATTTTATCAAAAGTTTTTACTACTTATATTTTTTTTCCATCTAAAGCTATTAAATCAAACAATTACTTTTTTTTTTTATATTATACTATAAATTTATTTTACATTTAAGACATCACTTCACATCAAACAACTATTCAAATTCAAAATTTTACTATTAAAAAATTCAAACAAAAAAACTAAAATTCACATACAAATACACCATAAGAATATAGGGTTTATACACGATATTTTAGGAGGAGAGTAATTAGTAGATAATTAAGAATGTATTAGTGAAAATAATTATCCTATAATATAAATAATTATAAATTAAGATTAAGATAACTAATTAGTTTAATTAAAATTAAAAAAAATAAAATTTAAAAATTTAAAATGAGATTAAAGTGTGTAATTATTTTTCAAAAAAGAAAAGTGACATGGTATGTGGGATGAACAGAAACTGTAACACAAACATAGTATTTGGAACGGAGGAAGTACAATATTTGAATCAAAATATTGAGGATGTTTTTGTTTTGTACTTTAAATAGTTGTAAGTAATATTCAATGACAATAAAAAATTATGAATATTATTGTTACTTATATCGTAATTTTAAAGACACACAAGTATTGATCATGATAATATTTATAACAATTTAAAATGTTAAAGACATTTATGTTATTTTCTATGGAACTTAAAATAGTCACAAAAACTTTGATAATATTTGTAACAAATCAAAGTTTTCAATATTTTAATGATAAAATCTTAAAAAAAATACTTCATATGTCCCGTTACAATAGTTTTGTTTATAATTTTTGTCCGTCCCAAAATAATAGTTTCATTTCTATAAATAACTATATCATTACAATAGTCTTGTTTATAATAACTGTAAAATTATCCTTACTTTTTCATTATTATTACACGATTGCAACTACTTTTTACACTAATATACTCACAAGGGTAAAAAAGTCTTTTTACTCGTACTTTTTATATATTTACAAAATTGTTATTTATGTTCTTTTGCCGCACGTCATGAACACACGACGGCTGTTCCATTTGTAGCCATGCGCGGTCGGAAATAATAACGATTTTTGCATATATTAAAATACATTTTACTAACGGGATAAATAAATGATAAAAGTGATAATTAAATATACGTTGGGAGGATATCTTTTTCCAATTTTTCCACTTTCAATTGAAACAAAAAAGCATGAAATAAAAATACTATGGATATTTTCTTTAGGCTCGGTTTACAAATATTGTTATAAATAGAAGTTGATGCAATATTTTGAATATAAAATAAATATGTAGTATAATATAAAAAAAAAAGAAAAGTAATTATTTGATTATATATTTTTAAGGAAAAAAAATATGAATAATAAAAACCTATGATAAAATATCTTTTCGTTCCAACTGAAAGTGTTTATTTTATTAAGTTTGTTTGTCTCACTCAAAATATTAATTTTTTATTATAATAAAAACAATAATATCAAAGTATAATTTTTTTATAAAATTTATAAATATAATATTACACATATAAAGTAAAAAAAAAATATATCAAAATTATTTTGACATTTAATGATAAATAAAATACAATTATTTTTAATTTATTATAAAAATTTAAAAATATTCTTTTATCCCGAATATATATTGGACAGATATTCGTTGGCAGCTCTTGACCTTATTAAAATTGTAGAGCCGAGACAAAGAGCAGTACTCTCTATCCTGTCTTTTAGCATTAAATAAAGCATCATGTAAAAGACACACCTCACCTCTTTTTTTTAAAAAATAAATAAATAAATAAAAATGGCGAACCGCCAGAAGATGCGATTAATTCAACAGCGTTTTCCATTAATGACCCCACTGTTCAATTGTCAGATATATCCAATTAAATTAAATTAAAGATCAGATATAATTAATTAATAATTAAATTATACAAAATTTATCTGTAATTTTACAAAATTGTATCTCAGTCTAATCTTTCTTGTCGTAAATTAACTGTGTTTGACATATAGTCCATCAATCTCGTAATAAAAGTATCCATTTTTTTTTATCTGTCTCATAATAAAGTATTCATTCAATATAATACATAAATATTATTATATTTATATCATATAATACTAATAAGGTCATTTTAGTCATTTTGATTTTATTCCTATTATATTTTAATACAATACTAATATTTCTAAAACTCCGTGTAAAAAACAAATGAATACATAGTTATAGAATGGAGGGGAGTATATACGTGTAAAAAATGTGAATAAGTTTCAGAATATCGACGCGTGCAAGTGAAATACTAAGAGTTTGATATAATTTTGAAAATATAAAAATTTGACACAATTTTACGATAGAGAAATAAATTTTGTGTAATTTTAATTTGATTAATTCAGTACCCCATAATTATCTATTTTCGATCCCATTCAATTTTTATTACTTCCTTCGCTATTCAAATTTATATTTATTTTATTTTTCGAATTGTTATAAAAAATATTTATATTTTTTTTAAGAAAAAAATTATTATATTTTTGTATTTTTTTTACTATAATAATAAAAAAAATAATTATTATTTATTTTTATTAAAATTTGCTTCCGGTGAAATAATCATACATTTGCATGATAAATGAAGTACTATATGGTTCGAAACCTAACTACCAACAATAAAATCCAAGACTTTGACAACTTTAATTTATAGGATGAACATGTGATTGTGAGATCATAAGTTTAAATTTGGACGATGACGGCTGTTCTTTAGTTATTGCTTTATTCAAACTAATAATCTATACATATGTTCATCTAGCGTGACTTGTCTTTATCAAACTTAATTTATAAATTATTAAATTGAATAGAAGATTTATCCGAAGCGCTTCAATCGAGGATTTACCCGAAACGCAACCCTCAAGTAGTAGCCGCGAACTATCATATTACAAGAAAAAAAATAAAAAATTATTAGTTCATTAATTTGTAGACCCCATAGGAGAAGAAAAGAAGCATTTAGGAACACAGGTTTTCAATCCCTCAAGAATTTTCTCCAACATCCATCCATGTCAATTTGATGGATGGATGGATGGATCCATTTCTTACAACAGTTCATCTTCAAGATTCGCCGTCAGTTGTAACGGCTATTCCATCTCTTTCCTGTAATAATAATCGTCGATGTAATCAAGGATTTCATTAAATTAATGTCGTCGTCCTCCTACAGTAGTACTACTTAACCCAACCCTACAATTCTTCTGCATCTTCTTCAATTCCCATCGGAGAAGAAGAAGAAGAATCTCTCGACTTCAATCAAACAGGTTAGGTTAATTATATATGTCGTCTAAATATTCTAATTATTATTCTTAATTAATTAATTTCAGCAAATTAATTAACAGTTGCCGTATCTTTTTGGGGTTTCTTGAAAATGTTTTCTGCAAATTAAGGATCTTTTGTTCATGGAACAAGAAGAAGAAATCTCTTCTAGGGTTTTAATGGCGTACGTTACGCCATGTCTAAAAACCTTTAATACGCTAGAAGCTATAGCTCTACTTTACTGTGCATTTACAGTATATTGTCCAATAATTTTGTGCTCCTTCTTCCAAGCTTTTTCCAGTTCTGGCAATGGCGATGGGGTTATCAGTAGTTTTCTCTTCTCCCCTATTTCCCTATACGATTCAACAGTGCTGTCTATTCACTTCACTGTTTGCTTTAATTTAATTTAATTTAATTTTAGTATTTCTTTTCTCTTTCTGGTTTCTTACTCAGATTTCCCTCTTCGTTTCTGTACCATGTTTTGACCACATTTAATATTTAATTCTACTTCATCCTCTTCCTCAGGGTTTCGTTTATCTGTAAAAATGGATAAAGATTGTCTTTTTCGATCGCTATAAATAATTACTACAATCAAGAAGGGTAAATTAAAGATTTCCGCCATGGATATGAGCAGTAATTTCAGGCCTGAGTTTCATATAGCGCAGCAAAGCCGTCGGGAGAGGCTGAGAATCCAGACCGTTTATCATCATCATCATCTGAACAATATGGACGGTCAGGATCAAATCCAGCAGCCGGAGGGTCTTCCCTACGAGTACTGCTCCGGCCAGATGCTGAATTTTCCGGCGCCGGCGAATTCCTCGCAAGGTAATAATTTCAAGTTTCCGATTCCAAACACAGTCGCGAGTAGTGGTGACCCACAGTGCTTTAGCACGTGGAAAAGCATTGGCTCACAATCGACCTCAGATTGGGTCGTTCATCAATCAAACTACCCCCCAATCTTTGTCGGAAATGGCCTGTCGTCTTCTTCCTCCTTCAAGCTCATCAACAACAGCAATAATGGTAATAATAATAATGATAATCCTGTTGTCGAATCAAATCCTGGTAATGATATTTCCATCCCGAGTTATCATTACAACCCCAATCCATTGCAAGAACTCGTCATTGCCTCCTCGTCGAATGTTCATCCGTACGGTAGGGTTCAATTTGGGGGCCAGGAATTGAACAATTACTCATCAGGTAGGAACAACGACGACAATGGCGATGGTGAAGTTACCTGGACAGGTACCAACGACATTTCCGAAACGCAGGCCCTTTCCTTGTCCCTTTCATCGGTTCCATTACAGGCTGCTGCTGATTCATCATCTCCAAGCTTCCATGATTACAGAAACTTGAAACCTGAGAATCTCCCCAAAATTTGGGGGAATTATGGTCGACACGATTTGGGAACCCTAGCTCGACGAAACCCCCGGCCCCTCGGCCCCTTCACAGGTTACGAAACAATTCTTAGGAGTTCGAAGTTTCTGAAGCCTGCCCAGCAATTACTGGAAGAGCTCTGCTGTTTTGACAGGCCTAACAATGGCGGTAATGGTGCTGGTAAGGCTTTGGAGGAAATTAGGGTTTCTAATGGTGATTCTGTCGCCATTGATGCAGCTGGCAAGAATAGGGCCCTGAATTGTGGAACTGATTCTATACAGCCGCCGGAGAATCTGCAGAAGAAGGCGAAGCTACTGTATTTGCAGGATGAGGTTTGTGTAGGTTTTCTTCAATGCTTCATTATATTAATTTATAGCACTGATCTTGACAAGTTTCTATTGCATATGAGTTTGATTTTTGTGGGTTTTGATTTTTCAGATTGGATCATGTGTGAATTATGTGATTTTGGGAAAATGATGATAGGATTAAGCAGGAATTATTTGCTGAAATGTGATGTCTTGACATGATTTTGGTAAAAGTATGTACTTGTGTCGGACGCTTAGAACGTATAAATAGTGCGTCGAATAGGGATCAATGACCGTGAAACTGCATTAGGACATCCTTAGCGTAATGGGTCCGACTACCTAGTTAAATGACCGTCTCGATCACTTACTACTTGATTTAGGTTTATTTTGTTTATCAATCATTTAGAGTTTGTGTAATTGATTTGATTTGTAATAAACATATGCTTATTGCCTTAAGTGTGCTTATTGTTTACTGCTCTGTGTAGTTGCTAAGTAACTTCATTGCGCACTTCCTAGTTTAGCTATCGAACATTGTGGTTTTAATAAGTTCTAAGCATATCTTGGGTTTTGGATTTAATCTTGATAGGACTAAATCACTGATGGATTTGTTTTTCGAATCATCCATTGCATTGTTTTAAGGATTGTTTTTTTATCTCAATCGTAAGAATCAATTGTTTTACTAGTGAAAATAAGTGCCAATGTTCGCGTGTCCATGTTAGAATGTTTGGATTTCGAATACATTCCATTTAAAGGACTAAAACGATAATGTTGTAGATTCCACAAAATTATGAATGAATGAGTAAAAATTATTAGTTTTGTGACATAAAAATTGTATTTGATTTGATATTTTTTTCGAAAAAACCTCTGTTCATGAATAATGTCGAAAGTTTGAAAAGTGTCTATTATGTTTTTGTAGTTATTCGGAATTGTTATGCAACATCTAACTTTTACGATACTCGATATTCGTGGTACCAACGATGATTGTTTTTGTTATTACATGTTTGAAACTCGAAGTTTTATGACAATCTATCGTTGTTTCCACAAGGTTTGCAAAAGGTACAAGCAGTATCACCAACAGATGCAAATGGTGGTTTCATCCTTCGAAACCGTGGCGGGTCTCAGCACCGCCACGCCATACATTTCCTCGGCTCTAAAAATGGTGTCGAAGCATTTCCATTGCCTAAGAAATGCAATCATCGATCAACTAAAAAGCATACGGAATGCCTTGGGCGAGGACCCGCCGGCACCCAGTGCCGGGACAAGCAACAGCAAAGACGATCCTAGCAATTTGATGCTCAAATTCTTCGATCAAAGCTCGCAAAAGCAGAAACGGAGCGCCGCCGTCGGAGGTTTTCTCGATGGCCAGCACATATGGAGGCCGCAACGAGGCCTACCCGACCAAGCTGTCTCGATCTTACGCGCTTGGCTGTTCGACCATTTTCTTCATCCGTAAGTTATCCTGGCTTTTCTAGAAGAAATTATTTTTCATATTCGACGCATGCGCCGAAATGGGTGTGTTATGCTTTATTTCGTGAAGATGAATTTTAGCTGTTGGATCTACAGGGATTTGCTCTGATACCACTTGTTACGATTTTTAAAAAAACCAAAGTTTACGATGCTTTATCTCGTAAAAATGAATTTCAGCCGTTGGATCTAGGGATTTGTTCTGATACCACTTGTTAAGGTTTTAAAGAAAACCAAAGTTTTTGATTCTTTATCTCATGAGGATGAATCTCAGCCGTTGGATCTAGAGATTTGCTCTGATAACACATGTTAGGATTTTAAAGAAAACCAAAGTTTTTATGCTTTATCTTGTGAGGATGAATCTCCGCCGTTGGATCTAGGGATTAGCTTTGATACCACTTGCTAGAGTTTTAAGGAAAACCAAAGTTTTCGATCTTAAAAATGGACTATAATTCGGGCCCCCGACTGAAATTTACGCTGTCTTGTTTAAGGTACCCGACGGACACGGACAAGCATATGCTTGCCTCGCAAACCGGCCTCACTAGAAACCAAGTAAGATCGATAAAATCGCACAATTTTTTTTTATTTTCCGGTGGAGTTCGAACTTTTTTTATTACTAACTACATTTATCGGGTTTCCGTTTAAATCAAAATCAGGTTTCCAACTGGTTCATCAATGCCCGGGTTCGGCTATGGAAGCCGATGGTCGAAGAAATACACATGCTCGAGAGTAAAGGGATGGTCGAAGCCGGGAAGCCGATCGATCAACCGAATACCGACAACAACGACGATACGCAAAATTTCGCCGCAATGTCGAGCATGCCGTCGAGCACAAGCTTGTGGAATCAAGAAAAGTGTGCTCGAATCGAATACCACGCGCCGTCGAGCATCGGGGGATCGTTGATGGGGTGGATGCCGGGAGTCGAGATCGGGGGGCTTAGCGTGGGGGCCGTGTCACTTACGTTGGGGCTCCGGCAGGGGGCCGAGAATGCGCAACGGGGGCCACAGCCGGAGCACAACGTGCGGCTGCGGTTCGGAAGTCAGATGATTCGGGACTTTGTCGGATAACTACTACACTTAGTGTAGGTAATTAAGGTATGTTGAGGAAATAAGTAAGGTTGTGTTTTTTGGGCTAAGATCGACGTTGCTAGAAGAAGAAAACCTTAGGGAATTCAATCCTCAAAGACTAGTAGGGTAGGGATGCTATGATATAGGTTAGGTAAGTGTAATTTGAAAAGTTGTGTTTTAATTAGGTTTGGTATGAGAGGATTTATGCATTTCATGTTTATATGTATGTGATGTACTCTCTCTTTTAATCCCTATAGAAGCAGCAAAAATTATTATTATTATTATTATTATTATTATTATTATTATTGTTATTATATTTTGTAAATTTGAAATTCTATTAATTATTCCTAATCAGCATGTGGAGTATATAATAATAAAGGGTTTATTCATATAGGAATTATATTAGATTTTTTTATTTTTTATTTTGAAAAAATCGTGGATTTAGAAGATTTATAAATTTGTTTGATTGATTTTATTTATTAATTTAGATATATTTTTACAAATTTAATTATATTATTTATCAATTGATATAAATTTTATAAAATTGATAGGATTGTAAAATAATGTTTTTATTATTTTTTTTATAATTTCATAAATTCATATAAGGCATACTTATATATATATATATATAAATGATTCAAATCTTTTAATAAAAAAAATTCAAAAATACATTAGTTAAAATATATATTATTTTGATTATTGTTTTTTATTGTTATCACATGTATATTCTGGTCGTAACATCATCTTAATTTCCATCACCATTGTCTATTGGCTTCATTATTTATATAACATTAGTAATACTCATTATTTATACATTAGTTTTTGTTTTTTGTTATATTTCACTTCAAAAAATAAAAAAAAATCAAAATTTTATTTTTTATGTTTGAGATTTGGATAATTTTAATTTTTTGCTTATTAATATTTAAATATTAATTATTATATCAATACATAGTATAAATCTAAGAAAAAAATAACAAAATTATTCTATTAGTCTCTTATAATACAAGTACAATGACATTTGCAGAGTAAATTATACAAATATAAAGATATTTTTAATATTAAATACAATGACGTAAAAGACATATAATGCATTTCTTATGGAACGGAGGTAGTATATATATATTTTTTTATGTGAAATATAAAAAATATATATATAATATATTAATTTTTTTTTTTAAATATGTATATTTATTTTTTTTAAAAGAAAATACACACAGTTACAAATGTAATGTTAGCATTATATGGCCGGTTGGTAGGGCTTGGGGCCTACACCACAATTTATTGTGGGTCACAAGTTAGGGTCAATTGTGTATTTTTTGGAGATTTTCTTAATTTGAAATTTTGAATTTGAATTTGAATTTGAATTTATATTAATTTAATATAATATTTTATGATAGAATAAATATATTTTTATTGATAAGGTCGAAACAAAATAGTAAGAAACTATCAAAAAATTCTAAGGAAAAAAATCAAAATATTGTTAAGTCTATTTAGATATATTTTACAGCACATATCAGGTTTTTGAATTAAAAATTCAATACGTGTGTTGATGCTTAAAAATATATTTTGTCTAATTATATTAATTATGTAATTTAATTATATAAATTAGTATAATTATCTATTAAGTCATCATCACAAGTTCGAATGATATTTGTTATTTGTATTTTCATTAAAAAAAATAATTATAATATCCTATTAAGGCATATATTATCAGGAGATCCGAAGCATCAATTAGGGACCATCTTAGACAGATACGATGTCCCCAACTTCTAATCTCCTTTGTCGTAATTCTTTCCCGAATGATTATTGCTTTGTGGTTAGATTATATCTTTATTAAAAAATGTACAAAATAAATAGTGTTGATTTGAATTTGAAGTGATAAAAGAACAAAATTTGTTTTAAAAAAAAGGAAAATATATATATATTGTGAGTGGATGAATGAAAAGTAAACAATATATATGTTGATTCGCCTAATTTAGTTTGCCACTTTGCCGATGTATTCTCTTAGGGCGTGTTTGTTTGGGGGTTTGAATTTTGAGTTGGGATTTAAATAGTAAAAATTTTGAATTTGAATAGTTATATGATGTGATATAAATAGGTGTTGATGTGACGTTTTGAATGTAAAATTGATTTTTAGTATAATATAAAAAATAAAAAATAGGTATTTGATTTGACGTTTTTTGGGGGAAAAAATTGGGTGAATAGCGTAAATCTTCACAAATCCCTCAAACAAACGCATCCTTTATTTAAAGAGATTTAGGAATACGAAACCTGTGCCGTTGTGAATAAATTTGTTCTCAATTTCTGTCCGTGGATGTAGCCAGTACGTGAACCACGTAAATCTGTATATTCTTTACGTTTTATGTTTGTTATTCGATCATTAACCCTAATCGCTCACAACAATACAAAAGTATTAGACAATAACAAAACAACATTTTATTACATATATATAAACACTACATACATATAATAGTGATCGATCATCATAAAGTTATAAGAGCAAGCCCACTCCATCACTAATACACTAGCTACATAATACCCACACAATTAATAGTGATTATTATTGTTATTATTCATTCCAAGTACACGCAGATATCTCTCTCTCCTCTCTCTCTCACTCTAGGGTTTTGAGCTGAACTGAATTAGCCACCACCACCTTTCCTGTTGAAATCTGGTATGGAGTAGTAATGGTGATTGTCTCCATCCAACTTATCATTCATTTCATTCTTATTCTCATTCTCCACATACTTAACAACATCCTCTTTCATTACCGGCTTCGATTCTCGATCCATCATCATCCTCCCCGGCGCCACCACTGCCGAGCAACGGCAACTTACTATTAATAGCATCAAGGCAATCAGCACTAGCCCCACTCTTATTTTCGCCATCTTTCTTTAATTTGTTAACTAACCTGACCTGCATCCAAACCATATATTTGGTTAATGGAATAAGGCGACGATTACAGTGTTGATTAGGATTAATCAGTACATGCATTATTGTACATGAAAGATATTTAAACCAGCAACACATACGATTTAAATCGATAGTTAATGGTGTAGGTTAACATAATACAAACACAACATATATATATATTAATCGATAATATATAACAATAGTTCACATAGCAAATACTGCGATTGATTCTCTGCATAAAAATCTACGTTAACATAATAAAATATGAACTGAGAACATATAGTAACAATCTATATCTACACATCACGCGTTGTACTAATTCAAATCATGTGCTGACAGTCTATATTTTATGTGTTATCAGTGAGTAATTCCTTATCCTTAATAAACACTCTAACTATTTTCGATATATACATGCATGGGTAAACACAAAGATTACGTGTGTGTGTGTATAATATATATATATATATATATTTATATATAGAGAGAGAGAGGGGGGGAGAGAGAAAATTAGGGTTTTCCATGGTTACCAGATATTCTTAGCTTGCTGCTCTATATCTCTATAAAAAGTCGATCTCTTCAAGAATCATATATATAAGCAATGGGCTGGTGGAATTTGTTTGTGATAGATACATACGATATATATATATATATATAGATGTAATAGAATGTGTTGATAGGGGAATCCACCAAATGAGGCAAGGTTAAGTGGAGTGCCCATACATAATAATAGATTTGTAATAATATTCACCATTATATTGATAACTAGTGGGATTATTTAATTAAATAATTTGATCCATCCATCGGTGGATCGCATCACATAAATCCTCATAATAATCATCATCCCTATATATATATATATATATATATATATATATAGTAATTAAGAAATAAAATTTGAAGATTCAAAATGAATAATCATGTCACGCTGCTCTTTCTTTTTTTGGCCTAATTAGGAGATTAATTGGCATTACAGTATTGAAGATGTGTTTAGGTTTTTTTTTTTTTTTTTTTTTTTTTTTTTTTTTTTTTATACAGAAATGTATTTTGTAAAATAAGATAAAATGATAAATGATAAATACTATGAGTCATGATGTATAAGAAATATTTAATTTGATTGTTTTTTTATCCGAAAAAAAAAAAGGGGATTTAGTTTAGGACCGTTTTAGAAAATAAGAGGTTTTCAATTCAATTTATTTATTACTCCTCCCGACTCCTAAATTTTGCTCACTTTAGTAAAATAAAATATACTTTTTTTACTATACATATAAATAATAATAATAAAAAAATTTAAAGCACATTACCCACATCCGTACACTAGACAAACCATATCGGGGTGTTTGAAACCGTGACATCATGGTCATAAGTCCATCCCTACACCGCTAGGTTATCCATAACTAATAAAATAGTATATATGCAATGATATATTTATAATTTATATATAAATTAAATATATTTTAATATTGGTACGATTGTTTAAACTATAATATGAAATAGATACTTTTGAGTTGATATAAAAAAAAGTGATAAAATATATATATTGAATTGAGACGGAATGAGTATAAAATTTTTATATAAAATATCATATTAATTGTCATTTCACCTAATTATAAGAAACACATAAACCAAATACAAAAACAACAAAACACACATGTTTTAGTTTTTGGTAGTTGAATGTAATACTTTATTGGAGAATAGTGTATTTTATAAGAAACTATGACAGTTACATAGTACAAGAAATTTCGAAGAAAAAAAAAAAAAAAGCCATAAATAAACAGAATTATATACTATTTGTATTTTTATTTGCAATTATTTTTAATATTCAATGTAATATTTCTTCTTAAAAGTATTATATTCAACACTAATTTTCTCTTTTATATAAAAAAATCATAACATGTTTAGATTTATATATAAGATTGTTGTAATTATACGTAATGCTAAATATTTATATGTGAAATATTAATTGATTTGAGGTACAAAAAATGTTGAAATGTTGTATAATTATTTAATAACACAAGTTTTATCAAATTAGATTGTGATGTTATATACTCCCTCCTTTCCACCTACCATGTCCACATTGCCATTTCTGTCCGTCCCACATTTCATGTCACTTTCCTTTTTTGAAAAATGACTATACACTTTAATCTCATTTTAAAATTTTTAATTTATTTTTTTAATTTTAATTAACTAATTAGTTATCTTAACCTTAATCTATAATTATTTATATTATAGGATAATTATTTTCACTAATAAATTTTTAATTATCTACTAATTATACTTATCCTAAATTCCCGTGTTTACGGTGACCCAGAGATCCAATGTGGCACGGAGGGAGTATTATTGAATACCATGTTTGTAACTAAATGGAAATTAATGCATGCTATATTATTTTTTTAATACAAATAAATAAATTATTTATATTTAAAATATTCATTTATTTAACTATAGTTAGAAATAAAAGTCAAGCATTAAATATTGAATATTAATCAACAAAATTTTTATATATAAAATAACCCTCACCAAACCAACACAGCCAATGATTCCAACAACATTATTATAGAATGCAATGTTCAGGCTATTTTGAGTTACATCCAAATTCTTGTGAAAGTGACTTTTCTTTTATGGTATGTCAAAATCTTATTCTTATATATATATATATATATATATATTATTTTTGTTTGTTCTATTTAAAAATATTTAATTTTTATTATAATAAATTTTAATAAATATACAAATACCAAAATTACAAAAATAATTCTTACAGGTTTTTTACTAACCAATTAAATATAGATTATTTTTTTATCGAGTATATGGAATATTCCCTTCGGCCTAATACAATAATCTTATTTACTATTTTTGTCCGTCTCAAAACAATAGTTTTATTTTCATAAATAACCATATTACTATATAACTACTCTTACTCTTTCATTATTATTGCACAATTGCCACTACCTTTTACACTAATACACTCACAAGGGCAAAAATGTCTTTTACCTATACTTTTTACCCACTATCAATATAATATCAATATTTCTTAAATCTCGTGCTCAACACAACGAAGACTATAGTTCCAGGACGGAAGAAGTATTATTTACTATAAATGATTAGTACAAAGTGTATGTTAATATGACGTAAATATAACAATATATATAACTTATAAGACATATTACTATTGATCTTAATACAAAATATATGTTAATATAACATACTTCTGTAAAATTTAAACTGACAATAAATAGTAATAATCTACAAGATACATAAATTAATTTTAAGTCATATATACTAAGAATTCATATTTTATATGCTTATTATGTTTAATCAATACAGTGCTGATTTAGCTTTCTAGCAATATTCTTTATAGATATATATTGACTATATATATTATATTAGGTCATGATATCCCACAAGACAAGTGGGTAAAATAATTGGGGGATAAAAGTCAAAAGAATTACAGTGAAAACCCTGCTATTTGTGCTTTCTGATGCCACTAATTACTAATTAGGGTTTGGCCATTTACTAGAAATCATTTTTTATTTTTTTTTAAGTAAATTGTTTGTATTTTTATTTAAATTACACAGAACTTTAAATGTAATGCTTTCTTAATAATGCTTATTATGATGTTTATATTGCATGCTCTTGGGGTGCAAACTCAAATTTCACATTGAAAAGTTATGAAGAAAATTACATATCTTATAAGTCTCAAGTGAACTTCACTAGTACGAGGCCTTATGGAGAATATCCAAAAACAAATCCGTGCGGACTCAGCCCAAAGCGGACAATATCATATTAGTGCTGAGTTGGCCCAATCCCAACATAGGCTATCCCTGATTCATTATATAATTAATTTGAGCCATATATATATATAATATTATTGCATAATTAATTGCCACAATTAAGGCCATTTTAATTTGAGATCGAGCATTATTGACAGTAATGCAATTAAGTCGATCATCCACTAATTAATATTTAATTTTATCTCTATATATATCACTACAAAAAAAAATAGTATATTTGTAACGGAATTTCATCCATAAAGTTCACGTAGCTAACGCAATTTCATATCTAATTTCGTCTCTAATATTATTAGTAATGAAAAAATTTCGTTACAAAAATAATATTCTCTGGTAGTATATATTTGTCTGTTCATACTATTGGTGTCATTTACCTCTGCAACTTGTCTGCATTACAAAATTGTTTTCGATTATGCACTTTTACACCCCATTAATTCTTTCAATTTTCAACAACAACAACAACAACAACAACAACAACAACAATAATAATAATAATAATAATAATAATAATAATAATAAAGGCAAGATTACTCATAGGTCATAAAATTTTGCACCATTTTTTTTTTCTTTTCGAGATTTAGAAATTACACGAAATCTCCTCGTGTTTTAGAATATTGCATATAATTCTTCTTTTAGATGTTTCTGTGCAATATTTAAGAAACTTCAAAGGAGTTTCATACAATTTTTAGAAGATTTTTAATTTACGATATTTTCTAAAACATACTTATGCGATTTTTAAATCATGAAGGAGAATGAGAGTGATTTTTCAAACCGACATGAGTTATAAATAAAAAATTATAATAATAAAATAATATATTATTGTTTGTGAGTTTTTTCGAGTATAATAAAAAATCTTTGCTAATAATCAGAATTTTTTAAATAATCTCTCTATAGAACTATTATTCCAACTTTAATATCTATATTTATATATATATATATATATCTGTACATTATTTAGGGTGTGTTTGTTTGGAGGTTTGGAATTTGAATTGGGATTTGAATAGTAAAAATTTTGAATTTGAATAGTTGTATGATGTGATATAAATAGGTGTTGACGTGATGTTTTGAATGTAAAATTGATTTTTAATATAATATAAAAAATGAAAAATAGGTGTTTGATTTGATGTTTTTGGGGGAAAAAAATTAGATAAATAGTTGAATTTAAATCCAATACTCCAAACAAACACACCCTAGTTTTTAATATTAACACGTTTAAGAAAAAAAAAATCGAAAATTTGAGCCTATTTTTTATACTTATTTTGATAAAAGAAAAAAAGAAGATTGAAAATAACAAAAAGAACACAACACTGTTTTTAATCTAAAATATTTACCACGGGGAAATATTTAGAGTTGCAAATATTTAAAAAATTTATACTTCATCGGTCCAAAGTTTTTCATTTGTCATTTTACTCTATTCAAATCATTTTTATTTTTTTCTTAGAAGAAAGAGTTTTTTTTTTTATTTTTTTTCACATTATTTTTTTTTTAAAAAATAGACATGAAATTACTCTATTACATTACATATCTATAAAATATTAACGTAGTTTAATTTGCGTGCGAAAAATAAATTAGAAAATTACCACTTTCGATTTGGCAGGCTGAAACCGGCACTTTCGATTTGTCGAAATATCAAATTGAAATTCAACATTCTAAATCATGATTTTAGTTTGTATTCGTCGATTTCATTTTCGATTTCACTTCCGGCAATTTTGGTTAAAAAACTACTGGATCAAGTTCTACATGTTTATATTTATTTTTTAATATTTTTTATTACTATATAATATTTTTGAACTAATGTATTTTTTAAAAAACAATTTAGATAATTTTTTTTTTTTTGAAAAAAATACAAGTGTATTTCATTTGTATTTGCATAATAGTTCTACTCACGTTGAAAATCATGTAAATCATGTATTTTTTTTTTTATTTGTAAAATTATATATATATATATGTTTCTACAATCAGTCAAATCCATAAAAATTATTTTGGGTTGGTTCAAATATAATCACAAACTTGTAAAAATGAAATATATATATATATATATCAAATAAAGTTTCAATTGAATATACTTCCTTAAAATTGTGGGTTAAAGTTCTTAGGCTTATAATTCTAGAGGTATGTTTGTTTGAAAATTTGAATTCAATCTATTAATTTTTATTATCTTCAAAACTATTAATTTAAAATTTATTTTTATCAAAATATTCTATCAATAATTTATTTTTTATTCAAATCATTATATAAAAAACTATGTATATCACATAAATAAAAAAATATATTTCAATTAATATTTATATTATAGTAGTAAATTGTACCATACTCTCTTGTATTTCAATAAAATTGTAATCTCTTCATCCGGCTCTAAGGTTTTATTTACCTTTTGCACGTCATTCTACTTAACATTAAAAATATTCTTATATTAGTATAATTTTTGCACAAATGTCATTATAATAGTATTATAAAATACTAATTGAAGTATTTTTGTCATTTTTCTTGATTTGTAGTACGTTTTTATATTATAATTAATATTAAAAAAATTAACATGTAAAAAGTAAATAAAACTCTTAGAGCCAAACAAAAATAGTATAAAGCATTTTGTATTCTATTTATTGCCTAAAAATTTTTTTGGATTAAATTAAACTATGCATAAAATATTATATTTATGTTTTTAAAAAATCTCTCACCACTCAACGGGGCGGCGCAGGCGAAGAAGAGAGAGAACCTGTTGGCGTGCGGCTGCGGCCTGCAGCGGCTGTCGATGAGTTAGTATAGGTAATAATAATAATAATATGATATTTATAATTAATTTTTTTATATATAAATAATTATTAATAATATTGAAAAAAAATAATACTATTACTTATATTTAAATTTTGTAATTTAAATACTAGTATAGGTAAATTGTGTATAGTAATAATAATAATAATATGATATTTATAATTAATTTTTTTATATATAAATAATTATTAATAATATTGAAAAAAAATAATACTATTACTTATATTTAAATTTTGTAATTTTTTATCATATCGATATTTTTATAATTTATTTTTGTGTATTTTTTTATTTAAATTTTTATTCAATTATTTGCTAAATTTATTATTTTAATTATTTTTTATAATATAAAAATTTAATTAATTAATTATATATATGAATTTTTACATAATAAATATATCTGAATAAAATTAATATCAATTTAACTATTTTTAAATAAAATTCAAATTTAGAAAAATATAAAATAAAAAAAATATTAAAAATGAATATATATATATATATATAAATCAGCGGTTCAAACCTTAACCGAAGGTTTTTAAACCGTAATCGAAATCGTTAAATTGTAACCGCAATCGTCATTTGAAAAGTTCAATTTTGATTTGATATTTTGATATATCGCAACCGACGGTTTGAACCATTTGGACAAATCTATACACAGTGTGTGATGATATATATAAATATTAATGATATATTTATCAAGATGTAATTTTCAAAATACTAAGATATACATATGTGTGTTTGTTTGGGAAATTGAATTAGATTTACACTATTCATCCAATTTTTTTTCCCCAAAAACATTAAATCAAACACATATTTTTTATTTTTTATATTATACTAAAAATCAATTTTACATTCAAAACATCACATCATAAAAATTTTCAAATTCAAAATTTTTACTATTCAAATCCCAACTCAAAATCCAAAGCCCCAAACAAACACACTTATATTTTTCACCAAATATATAAAATCACATAATCAATCAATAGAATATCAAACATCTCTCTAGACACATTCCGAATCCAAAACAATTTACTATAGCTACTTTTCAAATATACTCCAAAGTATAACACACTCTAATTTTCAGTTGATAGGAGTTACAGAAAGTTTCAGTTGAAATCTAGAAAAAATTTCAAAATAATAAGAACCATTATATATATTTTATGCGTATATATATATAATGCAATACTATTTATTTTATTTTTTTGACAGAAAAAAGGCCCAAATAGGCACAATTATTAGAAGGAAACAATAAATAGGTCCACAAGCTGTCGGCCCAAGATCAATATGCCACCCACAAACGACAGTCGGACATGTTGTCGGCTCATTTTATAACGGGCCTACGTTTTGTCGGCCCATCTAATGTATGATCATGTGATGTCGGCAGGACTTACAAAGCCAATATTACCATGCATTACATCATGTTGGCCCATTGTCGATAGGTCTAAATTGAAAATTCATGTGCTGTCGGCTCCTTTCCGACAGGTCCATGTGGCATTAGGTGCCTGTCGGCCAGTCTCCAACAAGCCCATGAGACGTCTGCAGCCCTTACCGGCCCAATACTGGGAGTAGAGGCCCATCAAGAAAAATTCATACTGTCGGCCCATTACCGACAATGCCATGGAACCATGGTTATTGTCGGTCCATTATCGACAGACCCATATCAACAACATTCACCTCTTGTCGGCCATTTACCGACATGACCAATTCCAGAATTTATGTGCTGTCGGCTCATATCCGACAGACCCATCTTAAAATTCACCTCTTGTCGGCCGTTTACCGACAGGCCCAATTTGAGAATTTATGTGCTATCGGCTCATAACAGACCTATATGGAATTATGTTTATTGTCGGCCCATTACTGACAGACCCACATCAACATTCACCTCTTTTCAGCCCGTTACCAACAGACCCAATTTCGGAATTTATGTGCTGTGGGCTCATATCCGACAGGCTCATATGGAATCAGTGTTACTGTCGGCCTATTACAGACAGGCCCGTTAATCCCATAATAACACTCACCTCTTTGAGGCCCATTACCATAGGCCCAATTTGAGACTTTGCACTGTCAGCTAATATCTGCAGGCCCATATGTAATCATGCTTATGGTGGGCCCATTACCGACATGCCCATATTAACATTCACATCTTGTCGACTCATTACCGATTTTAGAGTTTATGTGCTGTCGGCTCATACCCGACAGGCTCATATGCATTCATGGTTATTGTCGGCCCATTACCGACCTATTAAAATTTACTTCTTGTCAGCCTATTTTCCGACAGGCCTATATTACAATTCACCCCTTGTCGGCCCATTGCCGACAGGCCCAATTAAAAAATGATGTGCTGTCGGCTGCTATCCGACAGGCCCATATACTGTTGACAGGCTTTTCAGGCCCAATGTTGCCTTTGCATGCAGGCCCATATGAAAATTCAACTTTAGTCGGCCCATTTGTTTCAGGCCCAAAGGAAAACTCAAGTGTCATAAGCTGTTTGTCGACCAATTTCCAGCAGGCCCATATAATTTTGGCAGACCTTTAAGGCCCAATAATACCTCATGCACTAGGCCTATAGGCCCAAATTCCTACAGTCAGCCCATTTTTTCGATGCCCAAGTATAGAACTTATTCATAGTTTTTCCAATAGGTCCACATGGCTGCAGAATACCATTTCCCACAGATATACACGTTTATCAAACCTGTCGCCCATCACTAATAGGCCCAATTTTTCAATCATACGTGGCCTATTAAAAATCTCCATGGAGTCCAAAACAGGAAAATGATCATAGGACCCAATATTCCATCTAACCCAACATATAAATGCAAAAATTTAACGAACAACACTACAAAACTTTTTAGCCACAAAAAAATTCAAGAAATCAAAACCAACTCAAAAACAGACACAAGATGATATAATACACACACACACATATATATATAAATATGTAAATAGGTATTCAACAGTTACGACCTAGGCTTTTCCTTCTTCTCTTTGAAGAGTGCCAAAATACTTATGGAATAAGAGACGTTTGCCAAAATCATTTAAAAAAGCCTCAGTCAGTTTGCTTGGTTGGACTATATCATCATTTTGTATCGAAATCCATTACAAGCATAAATCCATACCAAATATTTTGCTCTAAAAACCCCACAACACAGAAGAAGAAATCTCAACTACTTCCAAAGTTCCTTTCCTTCAAAACCAAACCAAACCAAATAAAGTTTCTGGCATGATCCCCTTTTACTAGCTACTCTCTCTCTCTCTCTCTCTCTCTCTCTCTATATATATATATATAATCCCTACTGTGGTTTCTTAGAAGCCTGTCTACTTATGGACAGTTAAAGCGAGATTTAAACATCATTTTATAAGGTCTTAAGTCACCATGACATACCAGAGTTATGATTACCTAATGCTTCCAAGAACGAAGAATCCAACGAACCAAAAGTCGAGCTAATGTCCGGTAGAGGTGGCAAAGCACGATCCCCCGGCCTCAGGCGCTCTCTGTCGACAGCCAAATCTTGAGGCGAGAGAGATGGACGTTGCAGAGCTGTTGTTAATCCATCTCCAGTCGCAGCACGGTGGTTCAGATCAGAGTAGGGCAATCTTGGCCATGGAGGTCGTGGCCATGGCGCTGCTAATGTAGGAGGATGAAATGGCATGGAAGATTGCAGCCGCGGCAAAGAGGCAGGATACACGAGAGAGGATGTACCCGGTCGAAAACCTTGATAGTTAGGTGGAGGAGGAGCAAGCGAACGGCTCTGACCGAGAAATTGGAGATTTCCTGTTGAATTGATCGGTGGAGGCCTCGGAGCATGGAAACCGGATTGCGCCATAGCATGTTGGTTAGGACCTGAAATATTTCGAGAAATGGCGCTGACATATTGGCTGGTAGACCGTGGTGGCGCTGATGTGTGCGAAGTTGGATTCAGTTGGCAAGCAGAAGAATTTGGGCGCAGCTGTTGTCGGTGCGACGAACTTAATGCAGTGCCTGCAAGGAAAATTGTTATTCAGCTCGCAAGAAATGACGTAATCCGTGTAGATGAAATAACTTTTGATGCAAACGGGAAATGCCAAAAGTGTCGCATTTCTCTAAGATCGAGATAAGTTTACCAAATAATCATATAAATACATATATATATATACCTTGTTTTATTCTTGGAATACTACGATATTCGCGAGCTGTGTGAATTCTGATAACATCTGCCAACACTTTGTTTGCGTAAACCTTGTTCTGATTCTTTTGTCGATCCTTCATTTTCGATCGAAAATCCTCTTCAGCAGCCTTAATTTTGGCGTCATGTCTACTTCGTGTTTGAGCGATAGTTTCTTGTATTTCCTTCTCACACTCGACTTTCAGGGACGACACCTTGAAACAAATAAGAGGCTCTGTTTGAACTCGCGCATAAACCGAAAGGAAAAATGTTAAAAGGGAGGAATTGAGAGGCTTACCTTGCCCTTGAAGCATTGGTCAAGATTCTCAATTTCTTTACCGACATTCTTCAACTCATTTTCCAGCGGATCGGCAGCCAAAAAGGGTAAGTTCGAATTATTATTAAGATGCTGAACCATGCTAGATCCAGGAAAATTGTCGGCATCTATTCCCAGCAGCGGATCAGAAGGATTGGCAACTTCAGTTGTACTCACTGCAACATTAGACAAGTCAGCACTTGAAGAATCACGGGCAACTGATCCATGTAAAGATCTTGTATCAGGGCAATTTCTCGGGATTTCCGAATCTCTTTCTATTCGAGAAGTAGATTCATGGAAAACAGTAGAAGGTTCCACAGCCTGCGCTGTTTGGAAAGTGGTTATAACCGGATCATTGTTCTGATGCACAACTTCGGCGGCTGAAGATGGATTACAACTTGGTGATACATCAGTTGAGATAGGATCCAACGGCTCACAATTTCCAGTTGTCTGTACTTCAGAAGGAGACTGGACGGTGCTAATTATTTCCGAACTCAAAACCTCTATCGGCGCAGAAGCTTGACATTCCTGTACTAGCGTAGCAGATACCGAACTCTCGAGCATTTGATCTTCTGGCCCCTACATGAAATTTTTACTCGTTACTCCTGCAACGTTATGAACAATTCTCAAGTATATGCATGATATGAAGCCAATTCAATAACATCAAAGGAGAACAGGAAACTACACGTGTGTCTGTGTCTTCCGGATCGTTAGACACCAAACTTACTTGGACTTGATCTTCAGAGCCCTAAACCGACATTAAAAATCGTGTTATTGCAGCGACAATATTTAACAAAAAAGGAAAGAAAAGAAATGAAAAGGATCCTAGTATATATAACCCCTTTATCAGAATCATTCATCAGTTCTAAAGAGAGAACAAAATCGTTCAGGTACCTTAGCTGGAACTTCCCGGTTCAGCTCAACTGCTTGGATTTCATCACAAGGGCTTCCATCAGAAGATGTCAGGTTCACAAATCCACATCTGTCCGTATCTGATTGCGATGTTTGTTCACTATTACCAGTGGATTTTGCTTCAGCCAGCCAACGAGCAACCTGATCGCTCAAAAGGTTCCTAGCAGCTAGTTGCCTACTCTCAAGATCTTTAAGTTCTGCTTCTTTCTTTAGATTGTGCTCCTCCATTTTTTTTCTGTAATCACTGTCCAACAACTTAAGCTTTACCACTCTAGTTGGACCTTCACCATATATATATCTGATCATATCCGCCTCCAGTTTGTGATCTCTCTCCATGCTCAACTTCGCCTCCTCCCAAAACTGGTGAAACTCTTGAGATTCTCTCTGTTGTTTTCGGTCAAGTTTCTGTATTCGTTTGTCACACTTTTTCTGTATCTGCTTTATGAGAGCATCTATTTCCCTCTGGATACCTTTTTCCTTCAAAATTCAAATAAAATCTCTAACATGAATAGGATATTAAGATAATTTTACATTTCACTCCTGTGGCCAATGAAGTTGTTAAGACATTAAAATGAATCCTTAGTGCATTATACGCTGGTGTCTTTTTGAATTAATAATACAAATAACACTGTTATTTACATGTGAAAGGCAATGATGCTTAAGGAAAAACAGGTACGAACGTACTAAATGATTATGTTATTTTAAATAGATATCTCCGACTCCAATATATCAATCTTAGTTGTATCTTTGCAACAATGGAACATTATGTTATTACAGACTTACAGTCATAAACATAATGCATGGGCTACATAAAATTACCAATAATTGGAGATTCCAAGATCAAAACTGTCAAATTGGTATTGATCGAAAACCACTGGCAACAAGCAGTCAAACAATCTGGGGATCACAGTTTTCCTTTTCATGACAATTAGACAATGTAGAAAAATAGGGGGAAAAGTCTTTTTATTCATATATATATATATATATATATGTATGTGTGTGTGTGTGTGTATCGGTAGATGAACCATCTAACAAAGAAAATCTAATGTCAGTCAGAGCACAACAATAAGTGAATGAAAAACACAGCAGAAGCTGCAGAACTTCAGATAGATAAAAGCTGCGATTATAAAAAGAAAAGGTATAAGATTAAACCATTTTGTTAAGAATTTCAGATAAGACGCGGGAAACTGTGATCTATCCTCGGTGAAGGGGGTTTCCATCTAAAAACAGCAAGTTTATGGATGACTGAAAAGTCACAACTAGATACTCTGCAATACATAAGTCTAGCAAGTTTATGCCTGCATGATAAGCTATTCACCTATGATTCTCACTCAATTTGATGATTTAAAGATTACTTGTTTATATATATAAAACAAGTGGGAAATATGCAATTTATTACATATACTCATACCAAATATTCTGTAACTATACAAGGTTACCGGTAACAAACAGAAAAGCAAATTAGTTTTAATACACACGTGATAACCTGCGTGTCTTACAAGTGGAGGTGTGTGATCGATCATATTTACTCCTATTAGTATTTTTTTTTCATATTTAATACTCCCTCTGGCATAAAAACCAGCTGTATTCATAATATACATCTAGTGTGCATTAATACGGTCCTAAAGAGACAAAGAAAATACATAGAGAATTTGACAAACTCAATATGTAATAGGCATGTGCCATGTGGCAGTCGATTCCCCAAGCTTTTAACGTTTTCCTTGGAAATAACTTTCAATCTATACAAAATAGCATAAAGTGCATTTGAAGTGATAAATATTAAAAAAGGATTTCAAATACAAGATAATAACTTCCTCGCATTTCATTCGATAAATTGATTTCGTAAAATATCCAAATTATTTACGCTCCTATTCAAAGTAATTAATATGAATTTTAAACCTCTTCTCTAAAATTGTTCTCAAATCTGAATCCCTCCATCCAAACAAGTCTATAATTTATTATTGCAAATGGAGAGTTAATGTAGAAACAGCTACTTTCCTTTTCATATGGTAGATAGGAGTAAAAGTTCTCAACCAATGTACAAGCCATTCCACACAAGGAAAACTAACCTTGTCCACAGAGGAGACATCAGGTTCAGTTTTTACGGCAGCATTACACGAGCATATCTCCTTTTCTTGTGAATTACAAGTAGTCCTGCAGCCAAAATATCAAACACAATTCTGGTAAAGCTGAAATGAAATGCTTTATTTCTGGGTACATTGCAATTTAAATTTCACACGTGTATGCTTGTCTTCAGAACTAGGAATGTTCCTTTATGTGTGTGTGTGTGTGCACGCACTTCTTCACTTGCTTTTCATGAATAGGTGCAAAAATCAGAAGTTGAGGCAGATAGAGTAAGAATCTTGGGGCAAAATAACATAACCTTTGCTTTGGAAACATATAATGAAGCGGTAAAAAGAATTAAACGAAGGTTAATAGATACCTCATTTTCTTAGAAGACCTAATGCAAGACCCCACAAGACCATAATTTTCATCCTTAGCACTTAAGGTCTCTGCAATGTCAAAGAAAGCATATCGATCTTCAATAAAACACCACTTATACAACCAGCTCACATCTACGGCTGTTTAGGGACTTTCTCTAATAAGTGTTTTAATCCAAAAACATAGAGATAACAGTACCTGTTACAGTATTCCCTTCCCCTAATCTTTTATATCGAGCTTTAAGAGAATGGCCAGTAATTTTCCTTTTCTTGAAAGCAACAGACTCCTGGTGAACTTCAGCTTTCTTAGATTCCAAGGATAAGGGATTTATGTTCTCTCTGTGCGCCTGAATGGTCCCAAATTTCCTCATCTTAGGAGTTGCTCCACTTCTCAAACCTGAAATTCAGCTTTCCCAGAGCTGCAATGATATCCACAAAATTCCAACTTAGAAATCTCTCAACATAAACAATCCATAACCATTATAGGAAAATTAGGGCTACAAAATGGTGTAAGAGAACCCACAAACAAGAACATTAAGAGAGACTAATGATTATATGTTATGGACACACTGTCGGCCAAATATTTCATTGAATCTAGAAATTTCTACGCAGAAAGATGTAAGACGATGAAATTAAAAACCAACCACAACCCAAAAACGCATAAAACAACGCAAACAATCATGATTCGAAAGCTAGGTTAAACAGCACAAGAACAACAACAACAACAACAACAAATGTTTGCACAAACCAACAAGATTCACTAAAAATTGCCCACTCAAATGCAGAGAAAAATTAAAATTGTACTGTGTGTCCACAAAGCATCATAAAGCGAGAATATTCATTCAACTCCTCGAGCTTTGGGGCCATTCCTCCCCGAGGTGCAATACTCTTCTGGTTTTACCTTTAGGTCAGACTTTCTAAAGTCGGGCGGCACCGCCGGAAAGAGCGGCGATGGTAGCTAGTGCGAGAATGCAAGCCACACCATCGGAAAAGTACGAACACGAGAAATGGTAAACACGATTTCAGCCAGAAGCAACAACTCTAGAGTGAAAATCGAACCACACTTTCGGCATTCAGTCACTAACGAATTACATAAACATAATACCAACAGCTCTTACCCTGATCATCCCTCCGTTCACAGAATCAGAATCAAGCGAGATAATATGTACCACGACGAATTGAATTGCAGAGAACGACAAGTGAAATTGCAAAGAAACGGCAACTGCAGAAGCAATTCAAAGATGAACGAAGAGAGGGAAGCTGAGGCTGATGTTCAGAAATCCTTTTTAAGTGCAGTTTGCAATTTATTTTTAACCCAAGAAGACAAAAATGTGAAAGCGGTGAGACTTTTTTTTTACCAATTTTACCCTTGCTGCTATTTCCGTCTAATCGCCATTTCTACCGCACTCCAAGTTGCCTGTACAATTGCTGGCTGTTTGTTTTGACGTGAACCTAAAAAAGAAAAAATTATAATACTAATAATAATATTAATGGGGAGTTTGTTATTCGTTCAAATTTAAGGTAAAAATTGAATGTGTATTTTCAATTGGAATTTGAATAATAAAAAAAATTGAATTTGAATAATTGTATAATGTATTTATTTAATATTTTGAATATAAAATTGATATTTAATATAATATAAAAAATAAAAAAATAGGTGTTCGATTTGATAATTTTTAGGAAAACAATTTGTATGAATAATATAAATTTACATAAATCCTTCAAACAAAAGCACCCTTAGTGAAATTGTTTGAAATTTTTTTTTTTTTGATAGAAAATTATTTAAATAATATAAAAATAATAAATATATATAATATATTAATTTTGGAGAAAAATGTGTTTTTAAAAAATTGTGAAAGAACAAATAAATGTGTTTTTAAGAGTTTATGGGATTTTGATTTTGGATTTTAAAGAATAAATAAATTTAAAATAATTATTTTACGTGATATAAATATATAATAATTTGATATTTTAATATAGTTTATTTTAGAATAATGTAATATAAACTTAAAAATTCAATATGATATTTTAAAAATTAAAATAATAAAATTCAACAAAAATCACAAACAAATATATCCTTAATGTTTACATGATCAAGTATTATATACCGGCTTCCTTGTAAAAAAAAGAAAAAAAAGTTCAGGCCATAAATGCAATTTTACTAACAACAAAACAAGTATTATAGTCTTTTGTTTGTGGACGGAATTTATGTAATATAAATTAGTTATTTAATTACTTAAAAAAATTAATATATATTTAAATATTTTTAATGTTATATCTCAATAAAATTTTATATAATATAGACGGACTCCACAGGTCAACACGAAAACGAATATGCACATTGTTGACGTGAAGAGTCTATTTAATTCATTTAACTTATATTTATCCTTTGATGGCCTAGTACCAGCCCAACTCCGGGGATATTACAAAAACATATTTATTTATTTTTTATCATAAATTAGTTTTATAAAAAAATGAAGAGTTTTAAAAATAAATAAAAATATTTGTTAATTGAAGAGAAATAGAAATAAATAGATTTTGAGTAGATCCTACGTGTAATTTAATTTAATTAATTTATATTTGTTAAGTGTGCTTAATATTGATAAATATAAGGAACCAGTGGGACGGAGAGAGTATAATTTATCCCGAAAAAAATATTCACTAAACTAGAATTATAATTATTCATCTCCATGGATACATACAATTAACATGTATATATATATATAGAGAGAGATTGGTTGAATCACATTGCCAATAAGTACTGAAACTCATACTCATAGGGTATTTTCTCAACCAAAGTAGATGATGAAGAAGAAGATGATGATGAAGGCTTGGCTGCTGCAGCCTGAGGTCCCCGGAAACAGTCGACGATCGACTTCCTGAGTGTCCCGGACGTCGGCAGCTGTTGGCACACCCACTCCATCATCGACTCGGGCTCGCTCACAAACTCATTCATGTTCCTCAACAGAAGCTCGGGGAGAGCAATTCTTTTGCTACTTGTTACCACAATTGATGCTTGTAGATACTCTAGTTTCGATCTTTCTAGCTCGGTAATCACTCCCTCCGCCGTGTATATCTTCACCTATATATATTGCGACGACAAATTCAAAGTGAAGAACAATACGCATGTCGAAATTTATAGTAGAGGAGATTGGGAATCAGGGTCGAATTGAGGAGAGTATTTTGGATAAATTTTAATGTAAATGTGTGCGTTTAGTTATTTTTGCATTATACCGTAAAGAAAAATATATGAAGGGAGGCGCGGATCAGGTGCTAGTCGCTGATTCAATGCTGATTTGATCGGGTCAGCATATCTCATAAAAGTAGTCAACATATATTTTTGGATACAACATATGATGTATTATAAGATATCATATGTTGAATTGTAACATAATATATGTTTGTATCATAAATGTGCTATGATAGTATATAATATATGTTGGATATCTTTATGTGATATACTGACTCGATCAAATCAACATCATGCTAATTTGATTGTGTCAGCACCGGATCCGCAACCTAAAAAAAAAAGTAATACTCCTTCGATATGGAATCAATCTATTTATTTTGTTATTTTGATCAATTTGAAATCACTTCTATCAATTTTGATTTTAGCAATAGTACTTTCCTCGTAATTAAAAGAATCTTTACATTTTATACGTAAATTACAAAAATACTATAGTATATAAAATATATAGTATTAAAATTTTAGAGGTATAATTGACTATTCACCCATTCATTCTACTATATTATAAAAAAAATACTAATATTCAAAATTTAATATTAAAAAAAAAAAGCAAATGAATAGATACATGTAAAATGGAAGAAGTATACTTTTTTTTTATGATATTCAAAAAAATAAGCATAATTTTTTTACGACAAAAGAAATAATAAATAAATAACTTAATTTATTTTTTCTCCCAATGGCAAAACAAATGTGAAATTTCCGAAGCATAGTATTGTTGAAGAAACATATGGGACAAGATTGACATCAATCATGAGTGCGGGACTAAATTTATATTTTTTAATTGGTTTTAAGAGTTTGTTTCTAAAAATATATAGAAATATGACAAATTTAGTCATCTATCTATGGTCAACTATCACTTTTATCTTATCGATCTTGTTAATTGGATTTTGATCATGTATGGTCGGGACAAGAAAATTATCTTTTTCTTAGTGACATATGGTAAAAGTAATAAATAATCTTAAGTATATGATATAATTTCTAATTTTCTTAAGAACATACCGCGGGTGATGAGCGAGTACCACAACAAAGGGCGAATGTAATGTTTGGATCGGGTGTATCGAGTCCATAGAGTTCACGTACTATCGTCTCTTTGTTGTTGTCGTTGCCTTTGCTTAGTATCTGAGAGCAAGTGATGCATGAATTCATTTATTTTAGGATAAATATATTTTTAGTCTGCATACTTACTTTTGGTCATTAAAATAAAGTCTGTATAAATAGTTCTCTATTTTATTCATAGTAGCTGAAAATATCATATTGTCATGTGTGTTAATATATAAACGTAGTAATTTTCAATAGAAAATATTGACATGAACATAACTTTTTTAAATAAATATACAAACATAGATTTTAAATATATAAAGGTAAATCACATCAACACTAGAATTGAAAATTGTTGCATTCTTTTTTCTTTCAACATGAGCGACATGTCAGCTCATATAACAATATTTATCTCATTTATTTATTTATTTTTTATGTCAGAGGAAAATATGTACTGTTTTTTTTTTTATGTGAAACATGGATACCTCTTTGACGGCTGAATCTTGGGGTTTCCTCAAGATAAAATGTTCGATTGCTTGAGCGTTAATGTCGTTACCGGAGATGTTCAAACTTGCCTGCTTGATCAGCCACACGAAGATGAATAAATTCCAATATTACAAATACATATATGTCAATTATTTGTAAAGATATACATGTTTTGTTCTTCTACATTTTTTTTTTCATATTTTTTCAAAAATATTAATACACTACACACCTTCATTATTTTTATATTTTTTACACGATTCTCACATAAATTTTTTTTTTCAACATTCTCACAAAATAAATACACGCTTTTAATATGATTCTTATACTTCCTCCGTATCAAATATAGTGTCACGTAGATACGATAATTTATGAAGAGTCAATTAATAAATAATTAAGAATATATTTATAAAAGTATTACAATAGAATAAAATAATTATAAATTAAAAATTAAGATAAGTAAGCAGTATATTAAAATAAAAGGAAATTAAAATTTAAAACATAATTAAAATGTGTAACTTTTTTTTCAAAAAAGAAAAATGAAATAAAATATGAGACATACATAAATAAAAATTGTAATATAATTGGGCTACAGATTCCGTACTGATCCAGCTTAGTCAACATGATGCTGTTTTGACCGGATCATCATATACTATGCTGGTGATCACCATATATTTATACATAGTACAACATATAATGTAATATAAGATATCATATGTTATTTTATAATATAATAAATATACTGATATATGTATAAATATATATTGTTCATCCGTATAAATCAACACTGATCGGACCAGCATTTGATTTATGCCCTTATAATTGACTTTAGCTATACAATCAAATTCGCAAATTTTCATAATAACAAGAATTAGTTAGTTACCTTGTTCATGAGAGACAAGAGATTCTCAGGACCAAAAACCGTAGGAACCCCATATTGAAGATATCCCTGGATAATTAAAAATCATAAAACATATATCTTCAATTAATATATATAATAAAATAGATAATTATTAATATATGGAGTTGGGAAAAATAAAGTACATGCATGATACAAGCATTGTAGATGTTGATCCAAAAGGCTAATTTTTGTTGATGACTCAAGAACCTCAAGTCCACCTTTTGAAGGCCATCCATCAAAACCCTAAACAAATTTTAACCAAGAGAGAGAATATAATCATTAATTCATTAAATTTCAAAAAATAAAATAAAAAATTGCTAAAGAATTTAAAAATTTTGCACGGTAGATTAGAAACTGTGCAACATTCTTTCCCTTGTGTTTTAAAGAATATTGCACATAATTTCCAAAATATCTAAAATTTAAAGATTGGTATAAACTATTATTGTTTGAGTACTGCAGATTGAAAATTCTACCCAATGTTTTTAAAAACTCAATGAAAGAAAAATAATTGTAGCTTTTAAACTATGAGAGACAATAGTGCGAATTCCGCCTTAGTATTTTTAAAAATGAAATAGGGCATGGATCGGCTGCTGATCCGATCAAATCAGCATGGTGCTGATGTGAACGGATCAACATATGTTATAAGGGTGACCAACATATATTTATGTATATCTCTGCATATTTATAATACAATATATATCATATTATAATTATAATTTAGCATATGTTATCTTATAACACAACATATGCTGAGATATATATAAAAATATATATATTGGTCACTTCTATAACATATGCTGATCCATGCTAACTTGACCGGATCAGCATAGAGCCTAGGAAATAAATGTATTCATCATTTTTCACTCACTTTAACTTTTGCAAAAGAGGCACGGAACTTGAACTCTGAATGCACTTGAGGTCCATGGAAGTCGAGGTAAGTCTAACCAAGTTCTTGTAAGGACCAATATCCCTAGGAATGGATTCTTCGGAATCAAAGACGCCGTAAGGATCTTGCTGCCGCGAATCTTTTTGGAACATGACGCTCGTCTTTAAATTCGAGGTTGTCTCTGCTCGGAAGCTAAGGGAAAAGTTGGTGGAACGAGCAATGGGCCCGGACTTTTCTAACTCCATTACTCTCGATGTTCGGAGTAATCTCACAAAAATGAAGATTAAGCACTTCATTATGTTCTCGGACAGCTTATTAGGCGGCCATCGTTGGATGTTTTCTTCCTCCAAATGCAATGGAGTCGAGCCAGCCTTGTGTGCCGGCATTTCATTCGACACCTCAAGATTTCGGTCTCTCTGAAATAATATTAAGATGTTATGGAATAAAAAGAGCAATGGAGAATGTTAGAAATGTATACGATTTTCAACAAATGATATTCATGATACGATTTTTAATAAAAATATATTTTTTTTCTCACAAATATAACATCAAAATACTATTTAAATCAAAATTAAGTAAACTCACTATTCGTTATAAAATAAAAATATTCTAAGTAGAATTTACTAAATACATATCAATTAGGTATATTGCAGTTTACAATAAAAACATATAAAATAAGTATTGAATGTAATGTTTCAATAGATGATGAAATTTTAATGTAACATTTTAAATGGATTATATATGTTGGATACATTCATATTTATTTTATATGTTTTTTTAAAAAAAAAAAAATACATTCAAATTCAAAAATCCTAAAACACCAAAAATTTCCATAGAATTAACTAAATACATATCAATTAGAATTAGGTATATTGCATCTTTACCTTATATGTTGTTTATTTCTTCACGTGATTCATTGTAAATATTTTATTTTTAGCAAAAATATCACAACCAATTCCTAATTTTCCCTCTAAAAATAAAAATTTTAATAACCAAAAATGGAAAAACTTTCCCAAAAGCGAACTCACAAGGTAAATTTAATTGGATTCGAATTTATAAAGTTTGATAAGCTAAGAATTTCATACTCTAGGCGTGGCATGATGCCTCGGCTCTCTTAACGGCGAGGGAGGTTTTAGTATGCCACTTTTTCTCGAGATTTTCTCGTTATATATTCCTCCATCGTATTGAAATTTATTCTCCTTCTGACTCGAGAATCCCTTTGAGTTCATCACCTTTTCGTTCACACTAAAGTCGCTTAGGTTATAATCTCCTTTAATTGCCTTGTTGATGAAATGCATAGCTTTGGTGTCAAATGCGATTTTCTCGTTGGCCCTTTTGCTAATGATGTTCGGATTTGGTGGGAGAGGCGAAGATTCATGTTGACGGATTTTATTAAGGTTTCCTCGCCCCCATTGTTTGTATTTTGTCTCGATATTAACTTCCTTTTCGTGCTTCACTTGAGCTTGAAGATGTTTGATTTGGCTCTCGAGATGTGTGATCTCACTCTCGACTATTGATAACTCGGCAAGTATCTCTTTCATCTGAAGTCATTCATCGAGTTTATTTACAAATACTTCTCAAACATTATGTGTTAAAAGGGATTAACCACAAGCCCCAAAATTTATGGTCTATATTCATACACGTTTTATAAAATTTTGATCATGCTCATAAAAAAAATATATATATATATCAAATACTTATTTTTTTCCATAAAATTTCACATCAAACACTGAATCTTTTTGCTATATCTAATTTTTTTTTTAAAAAACTCCAAAAGCTTCTATCTAAAGAGAAAAGATCTGAGTTTGTCAACAAAAATGTAGAAAGGCAAATCAAATGAGATAAGGAAAATGTTGCCATAGATTTCGAGCACAAAAAAAATAAATAAAATAAATAAAAATTAAGGATTGTATTGTATACCTTAGGTGGGAGGAAGTTTGGAATGGTAAGAGAAGAGGAAGGATCTTGTTGATTATTGAGTTGTTCGAGATAATCGTGCACCTTCTTCTCGTAATCGAGCATTTTGTGAAGCACCGCAACCTAATGCATTTTCAACATTAGATCTTTACCGTGCCCTTAGTTTTACAAAGATGAGAATTTTTAGTGATTTTTTTTTTTCACAGAAGAATAATAGTTCATTTGAAAATAGTTCGACAGAATTTTTTATTACCACACTTTTAAAGATTCAGACTCTGTATTTATCATTAAAAAATATAATAAATAAATAATTTTTACGGACAAATGGAGTATTATGTAAGTACAATACTATTTTCTTTCAAAACATCATGATTAAATTAATATTCTTTTTTTGCTCAAATTTTTATAATTATTTCGAAAATAATAGAAAGTATTTAAAACACTTTGAAACATGTCTAATAACTAAACCAGGAAGGTTTGTTGGGTACATTAAACACTAAGGTGAGAATTAGCTTGGAAGCCATGACGTATGTAAATATATATATATATAATGTATGTATTGATGTAAGTCTAGGCCCCTACGAGAGAAACAGACATGAGATAGCCCTTGTCTTGGTTGTACGTTGTACCCTCACAAACTATGCACACCACTGGTTTAGCCAAAAGAAATATATATATATATAGAAGAGAAAAAAAAAAAAAAAAAAAAAAAAAAAAAAAAAAAAAAAGAAAAGAAAGACAAATTTATCTATAACTCTTTTGTAATTTCAAATTTTAGTATAAATTTTTATACTTTAAAATTTGCATGAAATTTTTTAAAAATATTGCATGAAATTCGTCATAAAAAAACGTAAATGGACAATCATCTTTCTATCACCAAAAAAAAGAATTTTATACAATGTTTTTTAAAATCTAAGAATCGTCGTGCAATTTTTAAAGTATAAGATAAATTTAAACTGAATTTCGAAAATACTAGGAAATTATGGGTAATTTTGGCTAATTTGTTTCTTGCTTAATTACCTCTCTTTCGAGTTCCTCCCTCTTTTGTTCTTCATTCATCGTCTTCTTCTTTCTCTGGAAATTAAACAAAAATTGCATTAATTATAACAGACAATTAATTAGTTATATATATAAAAAAAATCATTAAAAAGCTGCTAGATTTATAAATAACAACTTACGAATTTGAGGGGAGGATCAGCCATGGGAGATTAGTAGGTAGCTTCAAAAATTATGTTGAACCTGTCGTCGTTCCGACAGTCTATATATCGAACATTGATTAATGAATATGCTTTGTAAGAAGAGACTAAAATGGTGTTGGTGCTTGGTGTTGAAGCAAGTGCTGTTGGCTGCAATGCATTTATCGATCGATTAATGAGCTGTTGGTGAGATTTGGATTAGCTGAGAGAAAGAAACAAATAAGAAGAAGAAGAAGAAGGAAGATGATGAAAGGGAACTTTCAACTTGAGAGAAACTGATTGAACAAACTGTAAGAAATGAATGAATGAATTTGATATTGGGGTGGGGTGGGGCATTATAGATTATGCAGATTGCATCAATTGAGATAATTGAAAATCGAATATAATTTTATTAAAAAAATTAAAATTTAAAAATTTAGAGAAATACTCTATCCGTTCGGAAAATTTAGGCCAATTTTTTTATATTTTTACAAAAATATAGAATTAAATTATCAGGACAGAAAGAGTAATTAAATATTTATAAATTCACTGCCTTAAAAACCCAAAAGAATAAATAAATAAAAAATTATAATGTTGATCGCACAATTTTACTTTATTTTATTGGGCAAAAGAATTAATAGTATGAATAAAAATAGGTCATATCAGATCAGATTTTAAATAAACTCATACCGGACCTACTTGAAAAACTAAAGCTTGAGCTTGACCTATTAGCACGTAATAAAAAGATCAAAGAGCCTTGACCTATTTTTAAGTTTGTGTAATGAGTCGATTTAAATGTTTATATAATTATTTATTTTTAATTTTTTTTAATTCAATATTAGTAAAAAATAAATATAAATAAAATTATTATTTATGTATATATAATTATAGTTAAAATAATAAATTTTATATTTTGTTATTATCACTAAATTAATTTTTTAAAAATATATATAAATACTTAAAAATTATAATAATTTTATATATTAAATCAAAATTATATCTACAAGAAATTATCAATTTTGTAACGAAATTTTTTCGTTACTAAATTCACTTTTTCTGTTACTAATGATATTAGAGACGGAATTAGAGATAGAATTACGTTAATTACGTGAACTTTAGGAACGGAATTCTGTTACAAATATACTAATTTTTTTGTAGTGTATATATAAATGGGCCGGCCGAGCAGGCCTAAAAAACTTTTTATAAAGTCTAAGCTTATTCGAATTGTTTAAATAAATACATCAGACCTTGGACCCTTGATAGACGGCTTGGTCTATTTTCATCCGGGATAGCATGAATTGAGATAATTAAATAAGAGAAATTTATTAATTAATTAATGATTGAATGTAATTTATTATTTTAAAAAATATAATCATATGAGTATATTTTTTCGCCATTTTTTTTCTTTTTAAGATTATATTATTTGAACTTAATATTTTTTTTAAAAAAAATCAAAATATTTTATTAAATATTATTTTTATATCAATCCCAAATTAATTTTCTTCAAACTCACCCAAAAGAATATATACAAGTATTCATAGGTTCACAAACCTAAAAGTCCAAAGTTATTAAAAAAAAATAAAAAAAAATTAAATTGAATAAAACTCACGTGTAGTTTTACAAAATTGCGCAAAATTTTTCGTACTTTTAAAATGTGTCAAACTCTCTCGTGGTTTCGTAAATTCTGCGCTTTACCCATCGGTCATCCTTATTTATCAATTTTTTACATAAATGCGCTCAAATTGCAAATAAATTTCAGAATACTCATTCTTAGACTCCTAAAATTATAAAAATATTCATTTATCTTATATTTAACCTTAAAATATCATAATTTTTTTTTTAAAAAAAATTATATAAAAATAATTATTTTTGAGTATATTTGTTGTTTCTTTAGATTAAATAATAAGAATAATGATTATATTTATAATTTCAAGGTTTGAAAATAAAGATTTTAAAACTTATTTGCATTTTGGATTGGTGCAGATAAACAAGGAGGGCGAGGGGTTAAAGAATTTATGAAACCATAAGAGAATTTGACGTAATTTTAAAAGTATGGAGATTTCGTGCAATTTTGTAAAATCACGAGTGAATTTTGTATGATTTATAAAAAATATATATATCCAAAATAAAAAATATTGAATAAACTGTTCAAATTGTATTTAATTTCGAATCAAAATAGTAAAAAGTACAAAAAAATTGGTGAGTTGCATCAATAGACAACCTTGAGGGCGGCTTTTCCTTTTCCCCTTCTTTTTTCCTTGTCTTGCCTTGCAATTCTGGTTTTATTTATTTATTTATTTCATCAATATGGTGGGGTGGGGGGGGCGTGGGTGGGGTGCTGGGATCTGAGCACAATAAGCTATCTTGTCCGTTGATGGGCTGAGGATGGTATTATCAACGGATATGATGCGACTGGGTGCTCCGGTCCCGGGACCTCCGTAACAGAAGAATGAGTTGTTTGTTTGTGGTTGGTGAAGAGGCAAAGCAATTGGAAACTTTCAGTTGCCTGATTTGGAAGTTATTTTGGCGTACTTATAAATTAAACAAACAAACAATGATAATGATGTTGTACGTGTCTTTGCAACGGTGTGCTAAGCCTATAACGGACAAGATTCTTCTACTAACTCTAGGTATGTTGTTTTATTTATTTATTTATTTATTTATTTTTGCTATTAATATTGTAATTTTATTTTATTTTATTTTATTTTATTTTTAATTATTTCTGTTTAAAATATGCAGGGTGCTTTTTTATTTTGTGTTTTTTTTTTATTTTAATAATAAAAACGTTAATTTAATTACTTCCGAGTCATAGGTGATTATTTTGTCATTTTTGTCTGTCCAATTTAAAATTGTTCGTCTTCTTTTATAAAAGTATGTTCTACTTTAATACTCCTAATAAATACTATTACACTTTACACAATATTACAAACAATGTTATTAAAATAAATAAATTTAAGTGGAAAATTGTCTTTTTATCTTTCTATTGTATTATTACTTATAAAATAGTAATATAATATTCAATTGTATGATGTTATATAAATAAAAATTGATGTGATATTTTGAATGTAAAATTAATTATTAGTGTAATATAAAAATATAAATGAAATAATGAAATTTTGATTTGATCTTTTTCGTGAAAAAATTTCGAATAGTGAAAATAAATTAAATCAGCCAAACAAACACACCCGAAAACTATAATGAATTTCAAGGAGAATGAAGTATAATGAATTTGATAGTAGCTTGTGATTGAAGTGCAAGATCCAATTATTGATTGTGAACGAGTCATCAAATTTGATGGTGTGAAAATAAATTATGGGTGTGTTTGTTTGGGGGTTTGGATTTTGAGTTGGGATTTGAATATTAAAAATTTTGAATTTGAATAGTTGTATAATGTGATATAAATAAGTGTTGATGTGATGTTTTGAATGTAAAATTGATTTTTAGTATAATATAAAAAATGAAAAATAGGTGTTTGATTTGATGTTTTTTGAGGGAAATTTTTGGATAAATAGTAGGATTTTATCTAAATCCTCTAAAAATGCATTAATTTGATCAATAAAACTTTTATATATTGCCTATTTGTTTGTTGAATGATGATGATGTGCGTACATGTATCAAATATATTTCATGTCCAAAAGAATTATTTGTAATATGATCATTTATCTCACTGTTGATTTTAAATATTAGGGTAAACTTTTTTTTTTTTTTTTTTTTGGTCTCGTAACTGACCCCTTATCAATTTAGTCTCGTAAGTGGAGCATGTCGCAAACTAATTTCATAAGTGAAAATTTTTCGTTGTTTAGTCATCCGGTGCTGGAGACGCCCGCGTGGCTCGCCGGAGGCTACGTGTCCGCTAGGTCAGCGACACCCGGCGGACACTTGAATTTTATTTTTTTAATTTTTTAAATTTTATTTATTTGGTCCAATTTTAAAAAAAATTAAAAATTAAAAAAATAAAATAAAATAAAAAATAAAATCCACGTGTCCGTCGAGTGTCGCTGACTTGGCGGAACACCTGGCTTCCGACTAGCCACGCGGGCGTCCGGCGCCGGAGGACTAAAACAACAAAAATTTTCTACTTATGAAACTAGTTTACAACGGACTCCACTTACAAAACTAAAATAATAAGGGGATCCAGCTACTGTACTAAAAAAAAATATTTTACCCTAAATATTATAAGAATATTATTACCAGTAATAAAAAATTTTTCAAAGAGATGCTCCTAAATAAAAAGATCGACTTTAATTTCAATATACAATCTACATAATCATTCAAAATGTAATATCATTGTTAGCAGTGACTTCGTTAATCTACTTCGGGTGTGTTTGTTTGAGGGTTTGGATTTTGAGTTGGGATTTGAATAGTAAAAATTTTGAATTTGAATAGTTGTACGATGTGATATAAATAGGTATTGATGTGATCTTTTAAATGTAAAATTAATTTTTAGTATAATATAAAAAATAAAAAAATAAGTGTTTAATTTGATATTTTTAGGGTGAAAAATTAGGATAAATAGTGAAAATCTAAACAAATTCCTCAAACAAACACACCTTTCATTTACCAGTAATGTTTGTGAGCCCAATATCAAGAAGGCAATCCAAATGTACGGAATCCAAATTGATTGATGGAGACCCAATAAAATTAAAGGAATATTTCAAAGCGAAAATTAAGGAGAATCAAGAAAAGTAAACAAAGAACAAGGAATACAAAAATTTGCTAATTCAGTTTGATCAGAATAATTTAAATTTAAGTTGCTGTCAAATCAAAAATTTTACTATAAAATATGCAGATACATATTAAAGTGATAATACATAAATATTTATAGGCTAAATCTATGTTAATGATATCCAAATTATATATCTAAAATCTAGAATATAATATTCAAATTATATACAAATTATATCCTTAAATTTTATAATATAATCAGATTTCATATATCCACAGAAATCAAGGTATATGTCATAGAAGAAATAATCCGAGCTTAACGTTGCTCATAAAATATTTTTGTTCATGCTTGTCTTATCATATCTTTTTGTATTTGGTGATGCTTCATATTTTTTTAGACATCGTATCAAATTTATATAGAATTATATATATATAATACTATGTATGTCGTAAAATATATATATGTTATTATTTTATTATATTTCTCCTAATTTTTATATATTATTATTATTATTTCAATAGGAAGACCCTTGAACTCAATATATTTTATATGGGTTTGAACTCTCCATCGGATAAATTTCCTTATTCTTTATGGGCTCTTCTATTTGGATTCATGTAGCTAGTATGAACTTATTGAGAGTTGTCATTTCAATACGTGTATTTTGGTGAATGTAATTTTTATATTAAATACGATGAATTGTAGCTAGTATGAACTTATTGAGAGTTGTCATTTCAATACGTGTATTTTGGTGAATGTAATTTTTATATTAAATACGATGAATTGTAGCTAGTATGAACTTATTGAGAGTTGTCATTTCAATACGTGTATTTTGGTGAATGTAATTTTTATATTAAATACGATGAATTGTATTAAATTATAACAAATATTATTTTATATTGAATATTAATTTTATATATGAATAAATATAGTATTATATATTGTGTAAGTACATATATTTTATGTATTTTTGAAATATTTATCGGAAATTGTATCATTCAGAAAAATATATGGTGAACTAATTCTAACAATGTGATGTTAAGGATTGATTTACTTGTAGTTAGAATTGATTTGAAATTATGTAATTAAAGGCCCAAAATAGTCGGAAGTGGGGAGATTTATTGAATTTGGACTGTGAATTAATAGATATGTTGAGATATTTTAGATATTCAGTTTTAGTTTTAGATTTAATAGATTTATATCTAGATTTAATCTTATATAGATTAGATTACTTAGATTTGAGTCTATCGAATCTGTTTTGTATTGTTTATATATAGGCTTATTATTTTGATGATCAATAAGACAATTTTATTATTTTCCCCCAAAATTTCTAACATTGTATCAGAATCTACTTTTTTCATGTTGTAGATATAGTCTACCGATCCGCGTTTTTTCGGGTGCATTCAACCTGAGATGTACCGGAGGTCTTCCAATTTTGAAAATTTTTCTATAGTTTCTAGCCCTTTTTTTTTATTTTAATTTTATCTTGAGTCCTGATTTTGTCTACGATTGAAGTCATAGTCTGCACATCTGTCTGCGATCCGTCTGCTTCGTTTTTCCAGAGCCATGTTTCTGATTGCAATGAAAGTCCCGTTATTTCCAATCTTGTGGAGAGTACTCCCGCCGTTTTCGACTCCAGTAGAGAGTCATGTTGTTTTAAGCTTTTGTGGAGAGTCAACTTGTTTTCGGCTCCGGTGGAATCATATCGTTTTCGGGGCTCCGGTTGAGTCATGTCGTTTTAGGCTCCGGTGGGGTCATCTCGTTTTCGGCTCCAGTTGAGTTATGTCGTTTTCAACTCCAATGAAGTCATGTTGTTTTTTGCTCCGGTGGAGTCATCTCGTTTTCGCCTCCGGTGGAGTTATGTGATTTTCGGCTCCGGTGAAGTCCATGTGGTTTTCGGCTTCGGTAGAGTAATCTCGTTTTCGGCTTCGGTGGAGTCATGTCGTTTTCGGCTCCAGTGGAATCATTTCGTTATCGGCTCCGGTGGAGTCATGTGGTTTTCAGCTCCGGTGAAGTCATCTCGTTTCCGGCTCTGGTGGAGTCATCTCGTTTTCAGCCATCTCGTTTTCGGCTCTGGTGGAGTCATGTGGTTTTCAGCTCCGGTAAAATCATGTCGTTTTTTGCTCCGGTGGTGTCAAGTCGTTTTCGGGTTCGGTGGAAAGTCAACAGTTATTTTTATTTGCATTTTTTTGATCTTATTCATATATTAGATTACTTAAATTTGAGTATATCGAGTTGGTTTTGTATTGCCTATATATATAGGCTCCTTATTTTGATGATCAATAAGATAATTTCATTATTTTCTCCCAAAATTTCTAACAAAATAATTAGACCTAACCGATTATTATAACCTAATTCCTCTTTTGAGAAAAAAAAAAAACAGAAAAATAAAGCAATATGTTTTCTTCTTCATATAGTTTTGGAGATTTGATCGATCGACATAATAAACATTGTTCGACCTGTTTGAATTTTTTTTTTTATTGAAGATATAGGACATTTGTATTGTCAATCTGGACCGTGGAGATCGATTTTCAACGATCAGATTTTCATCAGATAAAAATTCAGCTGTGGGTCAAGCTTTTAGACTATGTTTTTGTGCTATATTTGTTGTTCTTGTGAAATCGAGATTTCGATGACTTCCTATTAATTAGGACATATCTCGAACTGTGTTTTTAGACGATTGTATTCTGATTATCAGTGATACTAGAATTTTTCGTTGGCTTAAAAGCCGGTGGTTTTCCCTCTTAAAATTGGAGAGGTTTTCCATTTAAATAGTTTTTAGTTGTTTGTTAATGTTCCTGCAATATTTTAGCCATTAGAGAATTATAGTGTGTTCTTTTAACAAAAAAATATATATACTCATATTTTTTCAAAAATATTAATATATTACACACTTTTGTTATTATAATATTTCCTACCTAATTTCTCATGTCTCATATAAAAAAAAAAAATACATATTCAAATTATCTTACAAAACAAATAATATTGTTGCTTAACGTTATTATTTTCCAAAATAATTTTACTATTCTTATTTTAATAAATAATACTTCATCCGTAACAATACAATAGTCCTATTTACTATTTCTGTCCGTCCTAAAATAATAGTCTCATTTTCATAAATAATAATATCACTGTAAAACTATCGTTTCTTTTTCATTATTATTACATAATTGCCACTACTTTTTACACTAATGCACTTACAAAGATAAAAATGTCTTTTACTTGTACTTTTTACCTATCAATATTTCTTAAATCTCGTATCAAACACAACCTAAACTATAGTTTTGGGACGGAGAGAGTATAAAAAATTGTCATTATCTTTTCTAGTTAGTGTTTTCTTTTACATTCACACTTTATTTTTACCTACATTATTTTTTATCCAAAAAAATAGTGTAATAAGCTCGAACGGAATGAATAATATTTAAAATAAATTATTTCAAATATTCATTTTTAAAAATATAATTACTATTAATTATCCAGGTTTCTAAAACTACAATGATGTGTTTTGTTTATTAAAAAAATTTACTTTTATATTTAAATAATATTTAATACGATATTTTATGTTAAAAAAATAGTATTTTTCATCCAAAAATATCGAAATTAAATAATAAAAATCAAGAAACTATTTAGCAATACACCAAAATCTCCAAAAAATTATATCTAAACGGAGCTTTAGATTGAGTTTATTTGCTATTTTTTTTTTTTTTCTATTTTTTTTTTTATTTCTTATTTTCTAAATTTTAATTTAAATACGTTCCATTAATTTCTTCCAGTTCTACACGATACTACATGAGATTCTCAGAATGCCCCCAGAAGAATTAGTAAATCTCGAACGTATCCCTCTTCAAAGTCAAATTAGGGCTCTGATTATCTGCACCGCACCCACCCATCTGCATTTCTCGCTGCCCTGCCCTGCCTCGAATACCTTTGAGCATAGAAATCGTCGTCCCGCTCTCACAAAATCATTACCAAAATCCCCTTTCTGCTATAAAGACACCCTGTAGATTCTGGTAAGTGATTCAGAATCTTTGCGCTCTTCAATTCACGGCAATTTCTTTTGTAGCAGGTGGATTTAAAAAGTTTCACAGTTCATGGTTTGATTGCTGCTGAAATGTCCATTGCAGTTGTGGATTAAACGTTGGCTATCTCTTTTCGTTGTGTTGTTGTTGTCCGTGCTAAATTCTGCATATACTGTAGCTGCACATATCTGTTAATCGAATTGTTGTGCGCCGATATTTGTTAGGTTTTTTTTTTTCAAAAAAAAAAAATTTGTTGTGTTCTAGGCATGGAAAATGGCGCCATAGATTTTGACATTGGGTTAGGGGGAGGGGATGATGGTATTGATATCGAAACCCCAAACGATGATGGAGGTATGCCTGATGGTTCTCCAAATGATGGTAATTCAATTGGGAGTGGCAGTGTGGGCACTGCTGCTAACCAAATTTACAATTCTGAAGGTGAGATTGAACTTGAGCCATATGAGGGAATGGAATTTGAATCGGAGGAGGCTGCCAAGGCATTCTACAATTTGTATGCAAGGCGTATTGGATTCAGTACTCGTGTTAGTTCGTCGCGTCGGTCCAGGAAGGATGGGGCTATAATACAGAGGTCTTTTGTGTGTGCTAGGGAAGGATTCAGGAATTTGAATGAGAAAAGAACAAAGGATAGAGAGGTTAAGCGGCCGCGGACAGTGACTAGGGTGGGTTGTAAGGCATCCATGTCTGTGAAGGTACAGGATTCGGGGAAATGGATTGTGTCGGGTTTTGTTAAGGAGCATAATCATGAGCTGGTTCCACCTGATCAGGTGCATTGTCTTCGATCACACCGCCAAATCTCTGGGCCGGCTAAGACGTTGATAGATACTTTGCAGGCTGCTGGAATGGGGCCGCGAAGGATCATGTCTGTGCTGATCAAGGAGTATGGTGGGATTAACAAAGTGGGGTTTACGGAGGTGGATTGCAGGAATTATATGCGCAACAATCGGCAGAAGAGCATGGAAGGCGATATTCAACTGCTTTTGGATTATTTGAAGCAGAAGCAGGCTGAAGATCCGGCGTTTTTCTATGCTGTGCAAGGGGATGAGGACCAGTGCATTGGTAATTTTTTATGGGTTGATTCGAAGGCAAGAACTGACTACAACTATTTTGGAGATACTGTGACGTTCGACACCACGTACAGGTCGAATCGGTATAGATTGCCTTTTGTTCCATTCACTGGATTGAACCATCATGGACAGCCTGTGCTGTTTGGCTGTGCTTTCCTGATTAATGAATCGGAAGCGTCGTTTGTATGGTTGTTCAAAAGTTGGCTAGCGGCAATGTCTGATCGTGCGCCTGTGTCGATCACTACCGAGCACGATTCTGTGATTCGCTCTGCCATTGTGCAAGTTTTCCCCAATTCTTGCCATCGTTTCTGCAAGTGGCAAATATTCAAGCAATGTCAAGAGAAGTTGTCGAATGTGTTGATACAAATGCCTTATTTTGAAGCTTCCTTCCACAAGTGCGTGAATTTATCCGAGAGCATCGAGGATTTTGAATCTGGCTGGCAGTCTCTTGTTGATAAATATGATCTCCGCGATCATAGGTGGATTCAATCTATTTACGATGACCGCAAACAATGGGTGCCAGCATATCTTCGTGACACTTTCTTCGCCGAAATGTCAATCAATCAGCAAAGTGATGGTATAAATTCGTACTTCGATGGATATATAAATGCTTCTACAAATCTAAACCAGTTCTTTAAGTTGTATGAAAGAGCATTAGAAAGCCGCCATGAGAAAGAAGTTAAAGCGGATTTTGATACTATGAATACACCACCAGTTCTGAAGACTCCCTCTCCGATGGAGAAACAGGCATCCGAATTTTATACCCGAAAAGTATTTGCAAGATTTCAGGAGGAGTTGGTCAGCACTCTAACTTTTACGGCAACCAAAGTGGAGGATGATGGAGAAGTAGGCATTTATAATGTAGCAAAATACAAAGAAGACCATAGAGTTTATCATGTGAGGTTCAATGTTCTCGAAATGAGAGCCACGTGTAGCTGCCATATGTTCGAGTTTTCGGGTCTTCTTTGCCGACACATTTTGGCAGTTTTTAGAGTCACTAATGTCCTCACACTCCCATCTCACTATATTTTGAAGCGGTGGACAAGAAATGCCAAAAGTAGTGTTATATTGGAAGAAAGAGTTACAGATCCATTTAAAAGTTATTTGGAATCTCATACTGTTCGATATAATACCCTCCGGCATGAGGCCTTCAAATTTGTTGATGAAGGAGCAGAGTCCGTTGAATGTTACAATGTTGCAGTGGCTGCCTTGGCTGAAGCTTCAAGAAAAGTTGCCCTCGCAATGAAGAGTGAGGGAAAGGGATCCGTAAACAATGGACCTATGAAGGATGTAGCTTCGAGGAGTGGAATTTGGTTGAATAATTGTTCGGGGGAAAGTCAAACGAGCTCAGCCCAGCAACTATCCGAGGTCTCTCGTGTTTCTCTAATTGCTGTTTTATTTGAATTAAAATCCATATATTAATTTCAATCAATAGATTTCTTAAATATTTGGATCGAATCATTGTTTCTTTTTTCTGAATAATATTGGACTACTACTGTTAGAGCTAAACATCAGGTTCTTGGCAAATCAAATATGTGACAGTTTGATACTGCGATGATATGATGTTGCGATGCTAAATTCTGTTCTCCTATGCATTTTGAGACTGCTTTAAAACCGAACAAATGTAGATCATTTCCATATTTTTATGAAAGTTAAACTTCAATAAATGCGCGAACAAATTATGTTTGTTTCTTGCCTTGTGTAGTTGCATGATCTGTTGACAATAAAAAGATAACAATTATACGGTGCATTTATTTATTACAGCCTTTTGTGCAACCTAGATTACCTTATAGCTGCTTTTTTTTCTTATATATTATAGTAATCAATCTTGTAAATTTAGTAATCTACGATTTATTAATAACTTGTTTGCCACTGTTCATGAAGTATAAATGCTTCTCCTTGTTTCCGTAAAATCTCCTAAAAAACCATGAAAATAACTTGGTTTTATACTTTTATTCTTTTGCTGAGTTTTGAGCATTTTGTATTTCTTAGGAATGTAGTTTGTACTTTACCCTTATCATTGCATTCGCTTGGAAATAGTTTTGAGGCTGAATATACTGATTTTAATAATTTTAAATCCCTCCATGTAACTTGGACATCAATTTATTGATTTTGTTTGTTGTGCTCAATGAATTATATGCTCTGTTATAATTAATTCTTGGGTTTCCCCTTTCGTAAATATTGTGTTCCATGGATCTTCGAATTTCTAAATATGCATCATTCCTGAAGGATGACATGAATCAGAAGATTAATGATCTCACCACCGATCTTGAATGTGCCAACCGCAAATGTGAAGTGTATCGCACAAACCTCCTCTCACTTTTGAAGGATATCGAGGATCATAAACAACGTTTATCCATTAAAGTGCAAGACATTAAGCTGAGCATGAAGGATGGCCTCTGACAAAGGTGCAATATTTTTCTTACTGTGATGAAACTTCATCCGTTTCTAATTCGGCTGTTTGATAATTTCAACTGCTCTTCGCATAAGTAACGAGAGTTTTTTTAACATGAAATGATGCCACCGTATACGAAACTGGATACTTTAGTTGAGGTTTATATATTGGCTGTGACATGTTGAAAGTAAGAGCTAATTGACTACTACTTACGAGTCGTGCAGTCTGTTAAAAATGACGATCTGTTGACATAGTGTAAATATGAGATTTTTCCTTCTGTCATTTTTACAATAAACTGGAAATCAAATTGGGCGCTTTTTTCATTACTTTGGGTTCTGTTTGATATAGTCTACTTCATTGTTGATGTCGATAATTAGCTTATGTGTTCATATGTTGTTTCGTTATTGTAAATGTCGAAGCTCATTTGCTCAATTTACACTGAACTATGTATAAAATAATACCTAGGTACTTAACTGTTTGAACTATAATATAGATTTGTTCAGCCATGTAAATTTATTTGTGTGTTTATATATTGAATGACAAGATGCTTTTGAACTATAATGTAAAAATTTGTTGATTGATACGAGGACATTATTGAACTATAGTGTAACGGGATGGTTGTGGTGCCGCCGGTTAGCATGTGTGTTGTATGAATATATTTTTTGTGTTGAAATCAATTATAGCATGTGTTGTGGTCGACTATGTCATGTGCGGACCATATGTTATTTGTTTTAATGTTTGTTCCTATATCATGCATTGTTTGTCTCGATATCTTGCGTTGTTTGTTTCTATATTGTGTTGTATGTGGCTATGTCAGTTGATTATTTTATATTTGTATGGTGCGATGAAAATATGTTAGACGATAAAGATTTGTTAAACATTATATGGCTATGTCTGTTGATCATTTTTACATGTGTATGGTGCGATGAAAATACGTTGGGACAATAAAGATTTGTTAAACATTATACAAAATACGTTGAAGTGTAATATTCAACAAATGACCGATGTATACAATATATTAGAATTGTAATATTCAATGGATAAAAGATGCTTATTCTCTTGTCCTTTAACGTGAGAATCCACTGCTACTATTTTTGCTCGAGATAAATCTTGCCAATCTTCGGGTTTAAATCCATTTAGAATCCCTTGCTTGGACACTTTGTTTAACTTTCGGAAAAGCTAAAATAAAGCTGAACCCCAAATTAGGATGTGTTTGTTTAAATTCTATTCTAAAAATTATTTTTCTTTATTTCATATATTTTATATATTATATTAAAATTTTCAAATCAATAATTATTTTATATCAAATAATTATTCAAATTAAAAAAAAAATTACCTATAAAAAATTCAAATTCAAAATGCAGATCCTTAGATTTTTGAAGTGAAAGGCCATGAACAACTATACATACTGCTCGAGCTTTGTAAGAACATCCATCTAGTAATAATAATAATGGTATATAAAGAGTATTTTTAACAGAAATGATTAAATAATACTCTCCCCTCGTCTATTTTTTAATATCTTATTTGATATTTACATGTATTTTTAGGCAATTAGGATTTTTGTGATAAAATGACAAATTTGCCTTTAATCTTGTATGCAGAAAATGAAAGAATAAATAAAGAGTAAAAGAGTAAATTTTGTGTATAAAAATAGAAAGACGACAGTAATTGTTGAACATTGTAAATAGGAAAGTAGGACGTTAGTTTGTGAATGGAGGGAGCAGATGCTTTAACCAAATATTGGAAATTCCGTGTGCAACTTAACACCGTTTAATATACTAGAAAAGAAAATTCTACGGTCCTAATTAATTTAAAGATTTATACATTTTACTAAAAATCTTCTACACATTTAAAAAAAAAATAAAATTAATATATACTATCTAAACAATTCTCCATATTTCATATAAAAAAATATCAATTCAAAATATTTTACAAAACAAACAAATCCCCTACATCTTCCTCAACTTGTGCTTTTTAAAAATTTACTTTTATCTTCCATTTACGTTTGTGTTTTCTACTTGTCCTAAACACAAACACTCGAGTACCCGACTTGATGACGATCGATATCCAGAACTTCGCCGGAGATTTTCACCCCAACATGCTTCGATTTAGTGATTTTTGTAGCTATATATAATACTGAATGGTTGAAAAGCTAATAAAACATCATCTGCAATGCAAAATGAGGGGTAAGAAGATAACCAATCTAGCTCTAATAACAATCACTCTTCGAATGAATTTCAAACATTTTATTTTAATTTAGACGACGCATCACTTGCTAGCTCACTACAGACTATTGTGCTCCGCTCAATTTAGCCCAATCTATAAACTGCATTCCACCATAAATATTATTGGCAAATCGAACACCAACTGTAAAAGCCATGGCAATAAGTGGCACTTGCTTGGCCAAGGTCGAGCCTTCGACAATTTGTTCTAATCCATTTATGATTTGGTAACGAGTGTTTGAAGACACTGCCAGAAAAACACCTGAAAGGTAAAGAAGCAAGCATTGCAAAATTAAACAACACCTACAAAATACTGTGACAAATAAATCATAAGTACCCATACCCCAAACCGCGGCACTTTTTATTAATGGGGGCACAGGTATGTCCTCGTCAGATTTATGAATGCTCCTGGCATGTACAAAAATCAAAGACATTACTTATAATCTAATGTAAATAGATGAAAAATTAATTGGTAAAAAATTCCAAAATAAATAGTAATGTATGAATAGTATGCAAAAATCAAAATCGCGAAATGAGCATAATTTTAGTGGACAAAAGGAGTATACAAATGAACAAAATCACGTAAAAAAAGGAAAATGTAATAAAAGAAAAGAAAAAGAGAAGATGGTAGGTCGAAGAAAGTTGTGCCTTAATGCATAGTGTGTTATAACATCCTATGTGACTTTTTCAGACATGTTTAGAATTGTCGTCATTGATGGCAGGTCGAAGAAAAGTAATGCCTTTGAATTTCACCAAGTTTTTTTTCCCAATTTTGTACGAATCTTGATTGACTTCTTAATCTCTTGTTAAAAACTTACGTGGACATTTCCACTACTAAACAATAGAACTTCATACATCATCTAGACAATTGATCACAAAGCATTTTTTCGATCGTGCATTGGAGGATACTACTGTTAGAAATCTTTGCGATGGATATAAATTTAATGAAACTCATGCCGATTTAAGAAGAGAGAATTCATCAAATGCACCGTTAACCCTAAATCCGCACTAAATCCGCAGTGGTTTTAACTTTTAAGAGTTATGAAAATGGATATATGGGAATGCATGAGGGAGAGGGATTATGAAATGAAAGGTCAACCTTAATCATGGCAGCAGATGTAAAAATACATAAAGGGCGCACCTTTTAGCCGTCATGATCATATTTGCAATGCCTTGGCCAATAATGCCGCACCCAAACCCAACACAACCATATAAGACACCCTGAATGTAAAATGGTGCATTAGATGATAGCATTAACCTCAAATGATTGCAAATGCTATAACTTAACAACCAACATGTGCTGAGTACCTTGTAAAAATAGGTGGCGACACGCTGTTGCAATGAAAATCTCACACCTGGTCGCTCAGCTTCAAAAACACTGCATAGTTTTGGCAATCAAAGTCAATGGCAACTAATGTTCTAAGGCCAGCTCCATGAAAGGGCAAATAATGCTCTGGAATCTAAAAACAAGATTACAGGCATATGCGGCAATTTCAAATTTCTCACATAGCCACAGTTCAAAATTCACCCAAGAATAACCTTGCCAAAGTTGTAAATATCTTTTCACAACCATAAAAATAAATAAATAAATAAATAAATAGAAAATAAAAAATTCAGAAGCCAGTCTTAGAAACATGCAAAATAATACTTACCAGCATAAATAACTTAGCAAAAAGTCAAGAGAACGAACAGAAAATTTAATTTCTTTCTTGGTGCATCTCATCCTTTTGCTATAGTAAAAATGATATATATATATATATATATATATAATGAAAGTCTGTTTGGGACATTGACGGTGTAAATTGTGAAAGAAAACAGCAAAGATGACAGATAAATACAAATCAAATCATGATATCGTAGCTACTTACAAAATTATCTAAAATTTACAACATTAAGATTCCCTTGTAATTATTTGAATTCTTGTGTAAGCTATTCCACTACACAAAGTCTACATCATTGTGTTCCAATTTACCATCCAACTTTCATTATTCGAAAGTTGATCCAGACATGTCCACAAAAATAACTAATTAAATATTTAAACTAATACAAGTAAATTACTCAACTCACCTGCTGGGAAGACCTACGGTAAATTGTTGCATACGCCCGAAAAAGCCTCTGGATATCGATTGCTTGCGTATGCGAGCATAAGGAGCCAACATGCCTACTAATGCAATGTCAACAACAATACCCACAAACAGATCCGCTGCGTACAATTCAAACTCAGCCCAGAAATCCTTTCCTCTTTTCTTAACTTCAGCAAATGTTGCACAACAAGAATCGATTATGATCTGAAACATATCATATAAAGCAGTAAAATAATCAGAATCAGAAATTGTGATGTTGGGATAAACAGATCTTCAATAAAAATCACATCAAAAAGTGCATATTTAACATAGACTCCGATTTCCCCAAGATTCTTCATAATCATTTACTTCCAACTTACTTCTGTTCCGACTTTAAACAAAAACGAAGGATCGGCGAGCATGCGATTCCGAAACATTGAACAATATCTCATCAGAAATCCTGTAGGCCAAGCCGAGCCCTGTAGAACAACGAAACAACTGAAAATGAAAAATCACAGTGCATACCTCCAACTAATTAGGAACTGAAATACAAAATTGATAAAAAATTCTCGGTTATCTAAAACCATTCTAACCTGCAAATCCAAGTACCGAGAAAGAATCAATCTTCGAAGACCCTGCGATTTCGCTGCCTCAAGCATATCATCAGGTAAAACAGCACAACGGCTTTCTGCCTCCATCAAAACGTCGTCGTACTTTATTATCGGCCCGAACTCTTCTTCGTCGGCATCGTTTACATCTCCCTCCCCGCCGCCTCCACTACCACCTCCTCCTCCTCCTCCTCCACCGCCGCCAGAAGACCGTCCATTCCCCCAATCACGGCCGCTACTGTCATCCAGTTTTGGTTCTTCAGAATTTTCCTCAAAACGAATCACTTCCTGTACACTGCGCGTGCATTGTATCTGAAGCGCTCTTTTGCTGCCGGTCCTGGTCGGCAATTGATTCAATGGCGAAAAATTGGCGAAAGAGTTGAATTCTGTGTTTCCGGGAGCACACTCACGGCGAAGATCAACCGTAACAAAGCCGGCGGCGGCAGAGGAGCAAATGGACGCCATTGGTGCTGCACGCAAATACTGAAATTATGAAGAAAAAGTGGAGGAGAGCAGCTCAAAACGCCATTCCACAATCCTCGAAAGTTGGAACTGATTTCACACTGGAGTTTGAGTGGGTCAACTTATTCAGGAGTGGACTGAATTGAAAAGTGAGTTTGGTGGGAATGGGCTTTTTCAGAATTTTGTGTTTAATTAAGGACTGATGTGAAGTCACTGTTTAATCCATGATAATTTGTGCTCTGTGGTTTGGTCCAATTAAAAATAGGATTTGTTGTTTTATTTTGTATATGTTAAATATTATATCAAAATAACAAATAGAAAATAGAAACGATTATTATATAATATATATTAGTATATATAGAGGTATATATAATACTTTTTCAATTTTATCTTAATTAATATATTTTATTTTCAATTTTTATCCGTTTTATAAAAATAAGTATTTTTCTATTTTGGATAAAATTTACTAAATCAAAACATATTTTAAAATATAAATTAATTTAATTAAATATATAACATATAACATTATACATCATTACTTAAAATTCATTCAAAACTGTTTTATTTATACATTTAAAATTCTATATTTTTTTATAAAATTAGTTTATATTAATTATAAATAAATAAAAGTATTTTTTATTTATTAACTTACTGATTTTAATTAATTAAATATTATTGCATTAATAAAAGGATTCCATTGAATTAAGATAGAAAAAATATATAGTATAAATATTATATATATATAATTTGTGCGGTCTGTATATCAATATATATATACTAGTAATTTGCTGAATTTTATTATACCTGAAATTTTGGTCATTTTCTCTGAAGATATGCTAGACTTGCTATATCTTCTAGTCATGTGCAATAAGTGTCTCTCTCTTAACCGTATATGCATATTGCGTACCACTAAATTGGTCATCTCATTCTCATTAATGATTGTGGGACATCGCCCTTTCAACAAATGCACTCTTTCGATAAACTGCACAGCTAATTCTTCTGGAGCCTGTTTCATTTCCAACAAATCGGTAAGAGAGACTGTTGGTAAAGGGTTGAAGAATCTAGCGTGGAACGCCATGTCCAAACCTTCCCAGGTTTGTATGTGTCCTCATGGTAAATTGACAAATCACGAAAAAGCTGTCCTAGTAAGAGACAAACCAAACAGTTGCAGTTTGTAGAAAGGATTATTACCAATCACTCCTAACTGCGCCGTGAAACGAACCACATGTTCTATGGTGGAAGATCCATCTTCTCTTGAGAAAGTATAAAAATCGGATGGTCGATAATTCCTTGGGAGAAGGTAATCATTAATGATCATTTCTGAAAAAGGTCTTTGATAAACGAGGCGATTAGCCACGTGGGGATTCATACCGAAATGTACTCTCAGGACATGCGCAATTTCTTCAGGATCCAGACGAAGGTGTTGATGATCAGGAATATAAATAGGATCATGTATATGTCCTCCTTGCCTATCTTCCCTCGTGATATTCGGCTGAGTATTATCTATTCTTGGCCCAAAAGGAACATTATTTGGGAAAGTTAGAGGGGTATTTCCCCTATCTGCTCGATTAGAAGCAGTGGCACTAGGAATTGTACTATCGACGTATGATGGCTCTGCAAATGTTGGTCCCAGAAAAGTTGCCTGAAAGCGAGAGAGTGACAATGTTAGGGGCGTGCTTAAATGCAATGTGATTCTGAACAACACCTGATCCAGCATGTTCTGCATTAAATTCTATTGATCTTGCAACATTGTTTGTATGGTAGTCATCTGTTGATTGTTCATTTGTTGAACATAAGTCAACCATTCAGGCTGTACTTGAGACGTCCCTCCTGCGGTTGGAACAACTGTAGTTGGATTTGATGTCACCGCAGAAACTCCGACACCGATGGTTTGAAAGTAGAATTTGCTATCTTGCTCTCCCACTGTGGTCGCCAATTTGTTGAATGGTTTTTCCAACAATATAAAGTAAAATCCGAAAATACATTCGAACTTGGATAAATAAAATTTTATTTATGTAGAACAAAGTAGTAAATGCATGAAAATAAAGGGTGACCTCCAACAGGAAAATTGTAATTACTTCTGATCGAAGATCCTTTTTTCTAAATTCCCCTTAATCATTAAATAATCCCTAAGGAAACGTCTCAAAATGTCACCTGGTCGGTTACTGCAACTACCATCAACCGCTCCACGTATTAATCCCCTACTGACACGTGCCTTAACGTTCCTGTCAGTTATCGAATTCAACTGCTCAGCCGACCACCCCCGTCGGCTAACTTCCATCACTGTCTTGTCTCCTTAAAACGGACGGCTGACCAACCGACCGCCTAGCCTCCGAACCTTCCGTCCAGAGAAATCCTTGGCCACCTGATGGGCCCAATAACGGGCCACTCTCTTCTTATTTTGAATCATTACCCTAATTATAAATTTTATACTCAAGGATTATGCAGTACAATGTTTAAAGAAGTGCAGGAATCACCTTAAATACAGATGCCCAGTAATAGTCGTAATGGCATCGATATTTTTTCCTGTCCAATGGATAGAACACATTCTTGTAATTTAGAAGGCCTAATTCACAGACCTTGGTGACCTTAAATCAACACCTGCAAAAACATCAATTATAGTACCGTTAGCCAGGGTAGTACCATAACTCATTCCTAGAGATAACAGATACCTTCTGTTGATATGAACCACAAGTTGGGCGATTACACAACATCATCTATAGCTATATTTGCTTAAAATCTGGCCAAAATGGTTGATTCAGAGAAATTTCAATCATTTGTCAAGTTGGTTTCAAATTAAGATTTCATAAATTGCATTAAATAAATATGTCTATGCTTTATGGGGAAAGGACTTGTTAAGTAACCAAATAACGAGAATTGCACAAAAATTTTGCATTCATTCGTTAAACAGAAAATTAATGATAGATATCAATTCATCATTTCAAAAAAAAAAAAAAAAAGGATTATACATCACAAGTTCTAAAAACAAAGCTACAGATTGGGATAATTCTGCTGGTTCAAACAAGGTTAAGGCTTTTTAGTACCAATTTATTAGGCCATCTTCAATCCATCATCTCCATTTATCCAGTTTTAACTTTAAATATGTCATTGCTACAGTAATTTTACTCCAATCATAACTCCATTTTACACTATTATTCTTTAAATATTCAATTTTTCCTATTATTTTAAACAACTTTTTATTTTTATAATTTAAAATAAAATTTTAAAAAATAAAAATTAAATTTATAATTTAAAAAATAAAATAAAATAAAATAAATAGCGTATTGCTACTGTGCAACACAAAAAATGAAACTGGATTGGAGCAACCGGCAGAAATGAAATGGTGTTGAAACACCGTAAATACAGCGTGGTTGGAGATGCTCTTAGCCACAAATACAAATTCCTCAAACCCACATTCAAAGTTCGAAACCGAAGCTTTCATATTTCCTCTACCATGACTCAATAACCACCAGAAAAAGTCATCTCAGTTTCGAATCATCAAGGAAATCGCATACATGCAAACAAAAGACAGTTACTCTACACCTCAGACGAATACAATCACACCGGAAGTCTCACTGCTTGAAACTAGCTATTCGGCAACGCGAGTGAACAGGAATCGGGATCAAAACGATAAATTTCCAACCAAAAGAGCTGTATACAGCGTCGCAAAGAAAATTAAAAGGAAAACTAATATAGAGGAGAGGACGGCAAAACAGGAACGGAAAAGCATGCGACGAAGACTATTCCTATTGCCCTTATTTCTCGGCTCATTGATCTCCGCGGAATCCATGGGAGTCTGCTCCTCCCTACAGAATATCGCGGTTATTCGGCCGCCGAGTCCCCGTCACCGGAGATCCATCCCGGCGTCAGAGTGTCTATGGACTCTTGCGTTTCGGGGAAGTCGAAAGGGAAACGATTACTATTTTAATTTTAATCAAAATATAATCGGCAAAAGCCTGGAAAGAGCCTTTTGAATTGGACCGGGCTGGACCGGCAAAGTCACAATTGAATCTATAAAAAATATATCAATGGTACGTACGTGGCTGTGGCTGTTGCTGTTGGATTGGATTAGGATATCTTCTCATTAAATACTTACTATTTTTGACTAAAAAAAAAAAGAAAGGGAATTCCAACCGCAGCAACAATTTCATCTTCTATCAATCATATAATAAAAAAAATTGAGATGTCTTTTTAGTTTCACCAATTGCCATTAGTTAGTCACTTCTTCGGGCTCTTTTGGTCACAAACAAAAGGCTAGATTGAACTATCTGATAAATGTTCATCAGCAACCATTTATATCTATTAATCATCACTTTAATCATTGTTCATTCATTCATTATTATTAGTATTATTTTTTTTAAAAAAAATACATATATATATATATATATATATTAGAATTAAAGGAATCAAGAGTGAATTTGAATTTAAAGAATGGAGGGTCCAATCTAACCATTAAAAGCACAGCCCCGGTCGGGTTGGGTTCCAAGTAAAAGAAGGCAAAGCAATTGTAAGAATCAAATATAGCAATAATCTTTACAAGACTATTCGGCCAAAGAGACGGTACATGGTCTGTTTACTTGTAAAATTTTAGATCTGATTTTACTATTTTAACTTCTTTTTTTTCTCCAAAAACATTCAAAACGTAGCATCAACGCATATTTATATCACATCAAACAACTATTTCAATTCAAAATTTACTATTCAAAATCAAAACCCAAAATCAAAACCTCATAAATAAATTTTGTCACTCCTTGATAAGTCATTATAAACTAAAATAAATCCCATCCCCCGGACACACAACTTGAAGAGGAGGAGGAAAAAACAGGAGTTCCATCAAATCAAGTCTATTACCGATGCGACGCAACAATTTGACCGCAGATAAAACCTAGAAGCAGATGAAAATGGCCGTGTTGGGGCTGGGGCTGTTGCCGGGATCAAACCTATTCTGAATCCCTCTTCTGCTTGAAATATATACCGACAGTGTCTGCTGAGGAAACAAGTACGAGACCATTGTAGAAAAACTTAAACATGGCGAAAGCCAACACATTGTCAGATAACTGTATAGTAAAACAATGGTTAACAGAGATATCAATCCAATACTTTGCTGAATTCTTCTACTTTATTCATCGCTCAAAAACTGATACTTGTGACAAAGAATTAAAATTGCACCTTCTGTTGTTTCAGGATACAGAGTAGAGAGAGTTCTCAAAGATACATCTCTAAGTGTGAAAAAGTGATTGGGCAGCCATCTAAAGCAATCAGTCTACCCTAAGGTTAAGGAACAGTATACTTGAAGAAAGAAAGCCTACGGAAACTTTTCTCCATTTACATGTTCTTTTTAAATGAATCGGCAATTGGTATGACATCTGAAATGTTCTTACTTCAAAGAGATGGAAGCAAGTTCGTGCTAAGTACACAAAAATGAAATATCATGAGAAAATGCTGCGCACCTGTACGGCTTTGATCAATATATCTCATCATCCGGGATGTCTGGCGTCAAGAACTTTTTGGGATCCTTGCTGATCTCCACGTAATCAAACATAGATGACTTAACCTTTTCAGGAACTGGTACGAGCGGGATAATGCTATCTCCATCAATGACAGCATCGATAATGCCATACTCAACTGCTTCCATTGGGGACATGTACCGATCTCTATCAATATCTTTCTCAACCTGTTCAAACAGTCTTCCCGTGAAATCGGATATAATTTTGGTGACATTTGTTTTGTTATGCATGACTTCTCGTGCCTGAATTTCCACATCTATAGCCTGTCCACTAGCACCCCCAAGTGGTTGGTGAATCATAATTCGAGTATTAGGCATCGCAAAGCGTTTTCCCTTGGCACCACCGCCAAGAATGATGGATGCTGTAGATGCTGATATTCCCAGTGCAACTGTCGAGACTTCAGCCCTCACTAGCCGCACAGCATCAAAGATGGCCATCGTAGCACTTAAAGTCCAAAAAAAAGGAAAAAAAAAAAAAATTCCTTATAACCACTATCATGATCAAGAAGATTTATAATATAGAAAAAATGTATAAAGACTGTTGTTTCCATGTCCACCTTTCTTTCTCGTTTCACAATAACTAACAGCAAAGGTAATTAGCCAAAGGATTTAAACCAAACAGGTTAGGGCGTAAATATAACCAATTAAGCATTCAAGCTTCAACACTGCACACCATATAAGGCCCATGTTCACTAACACTGTTAGTATCATTGAGTCGAATATGAGCAATAACCCCTACAAAATTCAATTCAAATACACTAATGTTCTTAAGATCGAAATTATGCATCCGTTTTCAATAGAAAGCTAAGTAGCATAGTCGTTAACCACTCAATTAAGCATTTAAGTTGACCATGATTTCAAGTAACCATTTTTACCATCTGCGTTGATTGAGCTCAATTTTAATTTTGTTCACACATGCTTATCATAGCCAAGATATGATTTCATTCCTTCCGCGTTGAAAGAAAACATCCAATAGCCAAACTGAGGTTTGGACATTATCTATACACACCCTAAAAGAATTATTTGTTTGGTTTTTGTGCAATTAAGTTAAAATTGCTTCACATTACTTGACATATATCCCAAAGCAACTATGAAAACTTGCAGATAATGGAACTAAGATTCAAATTTGAATTTAAGTTAAAATCAATTCACATGACACGAACGCACCTAAGTGAGCCTCCCGGAGAATTGACGAAGAGGCGAATATCTTTAGTGGAGTCCTGCGCATCCAACAAAAGCAACTGACTAATAATGGCGTCAGCGACGAAATCATCGATGCTATTCCCCAAAAACACAATCCTCTCCTTGAGCAATAATCCCATGACATCGGCCTCGGCTCCACGCATAGCCGTCGCAGGCGTCTGCGGCGAAGAAGCGGAGAGGTGGAAAAGTAGGGATTCGGCCGATTTTGGGGAGGAAATAGTTGGGCTGTTGACGGAATTGAAAGAGCAATTGAGCGTAGAAGCTAGGGTTTTCTTACTATTAAGAAACAGGCAGGAGGGAGATGAGGGTTGGAGGACAGAGGGGTGGCGGACGGCTGGGGAAGAGCAGTGGCTGAGAGGCGCGGAGAAGGTAAGAGTATCCATGGCGAGTCTAAGGAGAAACTGTGGGAAGATTAGGCGATCAAGAAAACATATATGTTGCACAACTAATTTGAAGCCCAATGTATTGGGCCTTTGCTTTGCAGACACAAATAAATATCTGAACGTAATGAATATAATACTATTGATTAGCTATTTTTTGAAATATTTAAATTTCAACATCATTTTATCTCTTTATACATATATTTACTGGCTACTTTTTAAAATATACTGTATTATTTAATAATAATTAAATTAGTTACTTTTTAAAATCATTAATTGGTATATTATATGCTGAGTATATATATATATATATATACATATAATGCATTCAAATCAGCTAAATTCTTGGTAATAATACGATCATTGATTACTTATATAATTATTTGCTAGTATATAAATATAATGACATTCACTCAAAAGAGTTATTAAACTTACAACATTAGTAATGTACTTATATAAATCTATACAATTATAGATTATATATATATATTTTTTGGATATGAAAGACTAAAATAGTTTGGTAATATTTAAGTAGATAGAGAAAATAATTAATCCTTATTTTTAAGGGCCACCATTTTAATGAATTATTCTACTATATGGCAGAACAAGTAGCAACTTTTATTGTTATTATACTCCATCCTGGAACAAGGGTAACTCTTGCTTTTTGCAAGTAGATTTTTTAATATTAGTATTATAATGGATTGTAGTAAAAATGGCTAAAATACCCCTAGTAGTATTGTGTAATATAAAAGTAATGGCATTTATGTAATATAGTGTAAGTTATAAGGGTATTTATTATGTTAGGTAGGTAGTACAATTACTAAATTAGAAAATTGTAATCTTGTTTTGGGACGGGCGAAAATGAAAAATAACAACCTTTCAATAGAACGGATTGAACATTTAAATTAGATTTATTTTACATAAAAGGCATCATTCTATTAAATAGTTATTACAAGTTTGGGGAACAAAGACAAATGTGTATATATAGATATAATATAGATACAGTAAATATTTGCAGTCATTTCATTCAAATAGCAAACACATATATTGGTAAATGAATACCGTGTGGTTAATAATAAGCCACAAATTGTAATGCATCCACGGTCATTAGACGTAGTGTTTTGCATGGACACTGTGTATAACATTATACAAATTTTACCAAAAAATATTTAGTTTATTTTATAAAATATTTTTAAAATAATAAAAAGTTACTATATAATGTTTCAATTCCTTATAAATATTTATACAAAATAATAAAAAATTCTACAAAATCAAAACACTTCCCAAATCCCAAAGTTGCCTCTTTTTGGAATTTGATTAGAAAAATTTTGATTTAAATTTGATATTAAATAATATTTAATAATACATTTTATGAGAAAAAGAAAATACAATAATTTTTTTGAAACACATAATTTAAGTAGTAAAATTTAAAATAAAGAAATACACCCATCTAGATATTAGAGAAATAAATAATTCCTCTGTCGCCAAAATTTGGTGTGAGTTGCTTGGATACAAAAATAATTATCCTATAATATAAATAATTATAAATTAAAATTAAAATAATTAATTAATTTAATTAAAATTTAAAAAAAAATTAAAAAGTTTAAAATAAAATTAAAGTGAGTAATATTTTTTAGGAAGGAAAGTGATTTTTTTTAAATATAATTATACATTTTTTTAACTGCATTTTATAATTCATAACTTATATTTTTTTTTATTTTAATTAAACTATTTAGTCATCTTAATAATAAGTGTGTTTGTTTTATGTTTTGAACTTATATTTTTTTATACTACTTATGTCTCGAAAGAAGAGTATTATTTGTTCTTTTACATATAATTTTTTTAATATAAGTATTATATTGGTTATATCCCAATTAGTACGATAGTAATATAAAAATAATAATATTTGTGTAATATATTATAGTAAAAATATTTATTATGTTAAGTAAATAGTATAATTATTAAATTAAAAAATAATATTCTTATCATAAGACGAACAAAAACTAGAAAATTAGATCATTTCTTATTGGAGGAAATATTAGATATATATATATATAACATATCAATAATACTAAAAATAATATTTCACATCAAAATTTTAACCTTTTTAATTGGATAAAGCATGAATATTCCTCCATCCATCCTATATATTTTGGGTATATTCTTATGGATACGAGAATTTAAATAAAGTATAATTAGTAGGTAATTTAAAAATATATTGATAAAAAAATTATAAATTAAAATTAAAAAAATAAATAATTTAATTAAAATTAAAAATTTATAAATTTTAAAATTTAAAATATGATCAAGATAAATATATTGAGTATATATATATATTGTGTATCGTTTATAATATTTATTTAAAAAATATTATTTAAGAATTTTGTTTAAATAAACAAAGAAACACACCCATATAGTTTTGATACCAAAAAAACAAACACACACCGCCAATTGTCGGTACTCACAAGTCACAGCACCATCATCAATCACAAAGACCACTCACCGATCGCCGTCATCGTTCACGATCTGCAGTTGCTGTTTTTCATCGGATTGTGTGCTGTTCTGCTGCTTCTCCGTGATTATATTTTGAGGTATATATAAAACTCTATATATATATATATATGCGTGTGTCGGTATCGTTCGTTCGTTCGTCCTTGGATTCTGTTCTGAAATCACAAAAGGAAAAAGGAAATTACAGCGGATTTTTGAACAGTGAAACGATTGATTCTCTGCAATTTGCTCCATACCTTACTGTTACAGACCTGAAAAAATCCGCATTATGCTGTATTTGCCCCATTTTGCTGTTACTTTCAGTTCTCTGACTCACCATATCTCCTCTGTGTGCTTTCAGAAATTCCACGCTCAGAAATTCAGACTCGCCTCGCCATTATTGGGGACAAATTAGGGTTAAGCTTTTGAGAAATTTTAGAGACAGAAAGATAAGCAAAAAAAAAAAATTGAAGCAGACGCGACAAGGTGTGTGTGTGCTCGTCAATGGCGGAAAGTTACCAGCAGCGGTTCTTATATAACTTTTTTTCCCATCCTCTACCTGAATATGCGTATGTGTGAATCCATCATTGCTGGGAGTAAAAAGCTCTCTCTCTCTTCCTCTCTATTTTGAGAATTTAGTGGTCCACGCAGGCACCTCCTTCATATCTGCCTCTTCGTTCACCACGTGGTTTGCTTTCTACGATCTCTGCAACAGCACAGCACCGCTTGCCATAACCACGCTTTGTTGCAGTCCTCAGTTCATCTTTCACTTCCTCAATTCTGTCCTCGATCGGAGGGGATGAATTTTTTCAATTTGGGGAAGTAGGGTTCATGGACTGATTGGCTCTAAATTGTGCATTCTAGAGCTTCAAATTGGGGGAAATGGCTTTGATTCTTCGGTTTCGGAAGCTCTGTTTCTTCGAGCAGGCTAAGTGTTGGTCGCGTGATGAAAAAGCGCTTGATTCCCCCAAAAATGATCGGAAAACCGCCGCCGGCGACGATTCTGCTTCGCCGGAAGAAAAAAAGCAGCGGAAGAAGAAGGAGAAAAGCTCCAGAGAATGGCGGTGCATAGATTCCTGCTGCTGGATGATCGGATGCTTATGCACTGCTTGGTGGCTGCTGCTCTTCGTCTACCATTGTTTGCCTGGACTGCAGGCGCCGGAGCCGCCTGGTGCGCGGCTGAAACGCGACGGTCTGGCGGCGCTCCACCCTGTCGTCCTCGTCCCCGGCATTGTCACCGGCGGTCTCGAGCTCTGGGAAGGCCGGCCGTGCTCCCATGGCCTCTTCCGCCAGCGCCTCTGGGGCGGCGGCAGCTTCACCGAGATATTCAAGAGGTTTCAATTTTTTAACCAAGTCTCCGATTCAGATTTTTACAATATGAACTTCGATTCAAATATTTTTTAAATTCAAATTCAAATCGAAAAATCGATTATCATTAGAAAGAGATATATTCTCCCTCAGTCTCCGCCTCATAGGATTGTGCTTCCTCCATGAGTAAAATAAAGTAGGAATAAAGTAAAATAACTAAAATAATTTTATTAATATAATATGATATAAAGGTAATGACATTTAAGGATAACGTTAGAGAGATAATAGAGTCAATAAAAAGAGAAATAAATACTTTTTTAAAATGAAAAAATAGATAGTTTGTTAAAGGACCGGAGGTAGTATGATACAAAGATAATGACATTTGTGTAATGTATTATAAATTAGAAGGATATTTGTAATGTTAAATAGATAGTATAGTTACTAAAAAATGATTATTTTGTTACGAGACAAACCAAAAAGAAAAAATGAATAAATTGTTAAGGGGCAATGAAATATATATATATATATTGTATGTGTGTATATTGATGTGAATTTGATTCAGGCCAATGTGTTGGTTGGAGCATCTTTCCCTGGACAATGAAACAGGGCTTGATCCCCCCGGCATTCGTGTCCGGGCGGTGCCGGGGCTTGTTGCTGCCGACTATTTTGCGCCGGGGTACTTCGTGTGGGCGATTCTGATCGAGAATTTGGCGCGCATTGGGTACGAGGAGAAGAACATGTATATGGCTGCTTATGACTGGAGATTATCCTTCCAAAACACAGAGGTACGATAATGTAATGTATTGTATGTTCATCTTGTGCTAACGTCTATCATTGGTGTTTCGTGTAAAGAAAAAATCTATTTTTTTTCTGAGAATGTTAGTCTAAATAGGAAAATAGAAAATTGTGTAGAAACCGGACAAAAAACCCTTGGATGTGTTGGAACATTTGAAACCACTGTGGCTCCGTTTAGTCAGAGGTTTTTGAGTAGTAAAATGTTGAATTTGAATAGTTGTTTAATGTGATATAAATAGACGTTGATGTGACGTTTTGAATGTAAAATAAATATATAATATAATACACAAAAAGGAAAATAATTGTTTGATTTGATATTTTTGGAATAAAAAAATTTGAATAGTAAAAATTTGTGGTAAAACCACAAAATAACTTAATAGAGTTTTGAAAGTTTGGAAAAAAAAAAAGGTACAAAATTAGTATTTGATTTGATGATTTGTAAGAAAAATTATATTTGATGTGATATTTTTCAAAGAATAAATAATATCAAATAAGTGAAAATTGGTTGTATAAACAGAGGTTCGATACATTGCTTATAATGTGTGTTTCACCGTTGTTTGAGCAGGTTAGGGACAAAACTCTAAGCAGATTGAAAAGCAAAATTGAGCTAATGTATGTGACGAATGGATTCAAGAAGGTCGTCGTGGTGCCTCATTCGATGGGTGTAATCTACTTCCTGCATTTCATGAAATGGGTCGAGGCTCCTCCTCCAATGGGTGGGGGTGGCGGCACCGGCTGGTGCGCCAAGCACCTCAAATCAGTGATGAACATTGGCCCTGCCTTTCTTGGCGTTCCCAAAGCCGTCAGCAACATGTTGTCGGCGGAGAGCAAAGACGTCGCGTTTATAAGGTTAGTTTGAGTTAATAATAAAATGTTTGAATAGTTTTTGCTGCGTAGATATCGTTACGACGACAATTAAAATGGTGATTTTGATTAGTTAGCACTGAGTTCATAGTACACGAAATATAAATAGACAACACATAAGATATAAACTAACAACAATAGATATATATATTAACATAATAAAAATACAATTCATGACAATAGTCTATATAATACATGTTACAATTGATCTCACCACGTAAAATATGTGTTTAACCCAACACACTCATAAAATAGATATACAACATATTATTATAATCTACATAGCAAATGTTAGTATTAATTCAAGCTATACATTAACATGTTATATTGGCAAAATTGTCGATAATTTTATTGTGGTTTCGAAGTTTAACGTAAATTCTCCGTAACTTTAAAAATTACATGACGCTCCTTATATTTTCAAAAATGTTGCATTAAATCATTTTTTACATTTTTTGTGTGATGAGAAGATAAATTTTCTATCTATATTTTGTTTTATTTTTGCATGGTGGGGGGTTTCATGCAGTGTTTTTTGAAAGTGTGAAGGGACGTTATGCAATTTTTAAAGTATAAAGAGAATTTACGCTGAATTTCGAAACTAAATAGGAGTTATGGAAAATTTTACCTACTATATTTCATGTGCTAATTAGGAAGAATCAACATAGTGCTTACTATTGACTAGCTCTAATCAACATTCTAACAATTTCCATATCGTTGCCGGATTGCATTTCTTGAATTGTTAGGGCTATGGCTCCCGGTCTCTTGGATAGCGAGATGCTCGGCCTCCAAACACTCGAGCACGTGATGCGTGTATCCCGAACATGGGACTCAATCATTTCGTTATTTCCGAAAGGGGGAGAAGCCATTTGGGGGAACTTGGACCATTGTCCCGAGGAAGATCATAGATGCGACACGGCTACACGCGCCGAAGGCAATAGCAGCGACGGCGGGCATGGATTTCGATTACCCGAATCGACAAACTACGGGAGGATCGTCTCTTTTGGAAAGAAGGCGTCGCAGTTGCATTCTTCCGAGCTCTCTACCCTTAGTTCTCCGCTATCTCCGTTCACCGCCGCCGCCGTCGCTCCGTCGCCGACACCCACGTTGGGCAATAAAGTTTGGACTGAATACGACGAGGTGAACCGCGCAAGCATCTTGGGAGCTTCGGACAACAAAGCATACACGGCGGACACTTTGTTGGATCTTCTTCGCAGTATCGCTCCGAAGATGATGAAACGAGCCGAAGCCCATTTCTCCCACGGTATTGCAGATAACCTCGATGACCCGAAATACGACCATTATAAGCATTGGTCGAACCCGCTCGAGACGAAGTAAGCATATATATACATAGGGATGATATATTGTACCGAAAATACCGAACAATACTGATACCATACCGAACTTTTCGGTAGGGCAAAAGTACGTACCGATACCGTACCAAAAGTTTTGTTATTTTGGTACAGTACCGGTATATACTTTTTCCATACCGAAAATTTTTATTTCGATATGATACCGGTATATACCGAAAATATAATTTTAAATTTCAAAATAATTCAAAATTTTAATAAACATGGCCAATTCTTCACCAAAAAAATATTATAAAAAAATCAATAAATTTTTAATAGTCTATTTTTTTTTCTTTTATGATTTAAAAAAATTAATAATTATCATTTTTATTAAAATAATATCGGTACGGTATCATACCGAAATACCAAACTTTTCAAAAATTTATACCGATACCCTATCGAAAACTTCAGTACAATATACATACCGTAAAGAACTTTTCAATATTTTTGACACGATACGGTACAATAAGTCGGTATTTCGGTGTGTTCGGTAAAATCCCTATATATACAATATATATATATATATATATGAATACCTAATTAAGCGTTACGAATATGTTCAGATTACCCAATGCGCCGGAAATGGAGATATATTGTCTTTACGGAGTCGGGATTCCTACGGAACGATCTTACGTCTACAAGTTATCGTCACCCAGGAAGCACCGAAGCATCCCTCTCCGAATTGACACTTCCGCTAACGGCGGTCGAACCGGCAGCTGCCTTAAGGGCGGCGTGTACTTTGTCGATGGAGACGAGAGCGTGCCGGTTTTAAGCGCGGGGTTCATGTGCGCGAAAGGCTGGCAAGGGAAGACTCGGTTCAACCCGTCGGGGATAGCGACTTACGTGCGCGAGTATCGGCATAAGATGCCGGCGAATCTGCTGGAGGGTCGGGGCGTGGAGAGCGGCGGACATGTCGATATTATGGGGAACTTTGGGCTGATCGAAGATGTGCTGCGCGTCGCTGCCGGGGCATCCGGTGCGGAATTGGGCGGCGACCGGGTGTTTTCGGAGATTCGTAAAATGTCAAAGAGGATAAGTATTGAGCTGTGAATCGAGGATCGGATCAGCCATGGAAGTTTTGAGGAAGAATTGAATTGATGTAGAAAGAAATGTAATAAGAATGAATGTTTGTTGCTATCTGCAAGAGGTATAAAGAAGAAGGTTTGTTTTTTTGAAATAATTTGAAGGAATATTTTTTATGTAACGAATAGAGAATTGTATAGATTCTATAAAAATAATGAATACCTCTAATATATTAACTTTTTCGAAAATATGTAAGAAAAAACAAAATCAAAGAGCGCACCTGAAGGCTTTTTTGATCGAATTGCATATTTGTTTCTGGATATATCAACAAATAATATTTCGGCCTAGAGGATTTCTATATTCTAATTTTACTATTTTATTTTAGATTGTGGCTAAATTTAACACTGTGTTGTATAGCACACCGTATATTAAAAAATAATGCACAATATTTTTATTGACAATAAATTATTTATATTAATATAATACAAATACATAACCATCAATTAACATATGATATTGATTGTTCTGTTTACTTTTGAATAAAGTCGAATTGTAAATTAGTCTTGTCTTACCCTGACCCCAAACAACATGTTATAATACTAATAGAATTGACAATAATACTTGTAATCTCCTAAGTAATATATAAAAACTTTAAAGTCTACTTAATTTTTTTTTTTATCAAATATAAATTCATATTTCCTACCGACAATCTAACATCTGGTCCAGTCGTAAAATAATTTTCAATTAGAAGTTCAAATTACAGCACAATCAACCTAGAATCACCCAAATTTTACTATTTGAATTTTATATTTTCCAAAAAAATATATATATAATTTTTACTTTTACAAAACATCTAATCAAATATTATTTCAATATCACTTTCAAATTAAATTTTCTCAAACCAAACCCACATAAACACACCTTTTAGATTTGTACTTATTTTTAAAATTTATATAGGGTTTAGAGTTTGTTTCGTGTCGGATTCGTATCAGATTTGTTCGGATTTTGGGTGACCTGAAAATAATTTGTGTCGTGTTCAGATCTAGAGTTTCAGGTCAGATTTTTTGTTCGGATTGACACTTTTTTTGTTATCCCAATGGCTCAACCCGACACGAACACGACCCAAAAATATGAATTGACACCCCTACATTTTCCATCCTATAGTATGGATCCTATGCATCACAATGTACTAAAAATAAATTAAAAGAACTAAAAAAAAAAACAAAAACATGTATAAATTCAGCTGTGTTTGTGTGAAAAAATTTTCATGATCAGTAAATACACAAATTCAATTCAGTGATGCACATACACACAATATAAACAAGAAAAGGGCACCAGATTTAGCAGAAACTGATTTCACCTTTTACAGAGTTTTTGCATCCATCCATCTTATCGAATCAACTGCAGCAGGACATCGATCCATGCTATGCCTCGTGGTGTAAGAATTGGCCGGAAATTTATCTATTTATCTATCGAGGCACCAAAAAGACAACCAGCCTTAGGGAGAGCATTGTGATGCAGAAACAATTGATTTCGAAAAGAAAACAGACACATGAAACTACAGATGCCAGCAAAAATACCGATTCTCTGACAAGTTTGTGAAAATCAACCCGGGAACGAATTAAAAAACAGTAGAAGAATAGCATGCTCCAAAAGAATTAACTCATCCATCCTCTATACTATTTGCAACTCTCTATAGTAGCAATTCAAGCTATCAGAAGAAAATAAAAGTTTCAGATACAGCGATGCATTAATTCCTCTTGTTAATCGATATAATGGGTGTCAAGATTTATCGCAGATTACTTGTTCCAACCAAGTGATTGAATGGTGTCTCTTGGATAATTTTAGTACAATATATGAACAAAATCAGGACCGGAAAGAGAGAATAAAATAAATCTGAAAGCAAATCAAAGCAAACGGCTACTGTGGTCATCATATACCAAAACACAATCAGAATTTGCTTCGAAAAAGCATTGGAGCACAAAATGCTAATCACAACCTAATAAAGAATGTCAGTGCACAAAAATGGAATAAACATAAATTAGAAAATGATCCAATATTCCTACCTCATGGCCTTCTGACAGAGATCCAATACTTTATCAACATTTTCATTGATGGAACAATCATTGATGGAAGAAGTGTTCTTTTCTCCATCATCAGAGAATTTCCATCGGGTCAGAATATCGGATATCTTTTTCATCTGTTGAGAGAGTTAAGGTAAGGAAAGGGAAAAAAACAAAAAAAAGAAATTACAGCTATGTTACCAGAGAGCAGAAAATGATAATGGTCACCAAAACAAGTCAGCTCAATAACTAACCGGTACTGAACACAACGAAGATTCCATTTACAGAAAGCTGGAACTGTTCATAAACCATTTAGAGTGATTCCGGTTTTGGTTTCACGATTTGAGATGGATGTTTACTTCTGTTCTAGAATCATTATCTATGTGTATATATATATATATATATATATACATGTTAAAAGACTAGTATATATCATTGAATGAGTTAACTATATTATACAAAGTTAATATTATAAATATGAATAATGAAAAATGTAGAACCATATGAAAACCATGTAAGAATTCGAACCCAAGCCAAAACAATTTTGAAATCAGGACTGGACTGGAAACCATTATGTGAAAGATTTGTCCCAGTTCAGATTATATTTGTAAAAATGGAAAATAAATAAACACACTAATAATAATAAGACTGACGGTTTGGAAACCATGAACATGTGTAGCTTAGGCTAACCATATAAGGATACGGCAATGAGTCGAACATCAACTTTAGTGCCTGAAGCATTTTCAGTGTTCTGCCCCTCATGACCCAATGTATGAGCAAGGAGTTCATCTTCTATTAGATCCAACTTGCTTGCAAGTATTGACACAACAATGTTAAAGTTTGATGAATTCATCTGGCTTTCATGAACTGTCAATATTCTTGCAATAACGCTCCAAATTGCACTTTGAGCTTCAACATCATCAGAAGCAAATGGGAAAATGTCAAACAGGCCCTGCAAGAAATCCACATCTGGTGCCAAAAAAAAAGGAAGTGATTTATGCTTTCTGCGCCAAAGAGGCAACTACTATCAATTATTATTACATTTACCCATTGATAATTCAGACACTAGATCGGTCGCCTCAGTAATCATATTTGCTATCAAAACTGCAGCTGTTACACACGAGGTGGAAACCTGAAGCAGAATATCATACAGTAAGAGATAATTTAAAATTTTCATGAGAAGGAAAACATAGAATGATCTTATAATGCTGTTACATTCATCTCTTCAGTTCAAGCAATGATGATAAGATAAAGTTCGTTTATTTTTATTCTTGCAGCAGAAGTTACTATTTAAAATGGAACAGTAATTCCCCTAGATAAAGCTTTTGCTCAATGGAACCTAAAAATGAATTAAAAGAAATCCAGATCATGTCATATTTTATCGAAGACATTAAAGAAAAGCTAAGGTAACAAGCTGAATTAATTTGCACACACTAGATATATAGGGATTGCAAAAGCATTCTTCTCTATCAGCACATTGAAATAAAAAGGATAACTAGCCCGCATAAAAATCTGCAAAATGTAGCCAAACTAAAAGATTTGTTAGGAGCTACTCAACTTCGAAGGCAAATAAGTCAACCACGCCAAACCTCTCAATACCACAGAGTTGAAAAAAAAGCAAAAGCAAAAATAATAATAATAATAATAAAAAAGGAAAGGATTACCAAATGTGTTGCAGAAAACCTGAAGGAACTAACATTTGTGGGATTATATGGCCATATCCCAATCCGTTTTAAAAAATTATGACTAGACACTTGAAACAAGTTATGCTTAACGATTACTGAGAAATCTATATTAAACAAACCTCCAACTTATCAGGAAGTTCAATCAGTTCTTTTAGTTGCTCCATGAGTTCTTTATGTAGACAAATTTCAGATGAATACTTATCCATGGTAGATATAGCCTCAAATGCCCGAAGAATCAAGTCCAACACAGGATACCTGATGCAGTATGATTCAAAGCCATGAAAATCAACAAAGCCTTCTGGTACACATAGTTAGAAATATTGCTAAATTCGCATATCTCATCTCACCATATATCCAATCTCCTGTGCAAATCTTACAAATAGCATCCGGCACCCAAAAATAGCGGGTAACTTTTCCTTAAAACTAACTTCTTAAAATTATAATAATATTATGACCTATTTGATTATTAAAACCAGTTCATCACCACAAAAACAACATACCCGGAGCTTCCACTTTTTCAAATTTTTATGTGCCTAGTGCAAGTTACAAAGAACAACAAAATTGAGAGGTGGTACATAACTCAATCGAATTAATGAAGTACATCATTTTGATCCCAATGTACTATTTATATTGTTCTACTTATAGGATACAATAATAATAATACATTAGGACATGTAATTACAATATAAAACTTGCCATACATCTGCATAAAATAAAAACTATCATATGCTAAATCATAATAATATTATTTAAAATAATCAAATCTCATAGAGTATCCTATTCAAAAAAGTTTCAACACAAAGTAAACTATGTGCAGGAACAAAAAGACCCAAGTAGTCGTATTTTATGGAAAAAAAGTCTGTATATGTATAAATGTGTAGTAAAACATGAGCAAAAGAGACTAAAAACATAGTATAGAGGAAAAGAAATCAATAATCAATCCGGACTTAACAGCACTTTTAAGCATCCAGAGTTGAAAAAAACCTGTGAATATTTATTTTATTATCATGTTCAAAAGGGAGAAGGCATAACATTAACAGACATTTTCAAAGTAAACTCATATGCATTAATACCACAGAAAAGAACATATACCTCTCAGGCAATTGTTCTTCTTTTAATTTGCTCATTTCAAAGGCCAGGAGTTTGATCAAAAGATTTGGAAGATTCAATTCCATTATACGTGGAAGAAGAGTTGCTGCCACTTCCTGTGGACTCTCTATAATTGCTAAGAGTAAACCAACAATCTGAAAACAGAATAACCATGTCTGAGACATTGATACAAAAGAAGAAAGAATCAAAATTGAGTTAAATACTTCAAGGGTCACAATACTTATAAACTGATTGATTAAAACTATTAGATGAATTCATTTTCCAGCCACACATTCCATATGAACTTCCTAAAACAAAATAATACAGTTAAAATTTATGGTCCAAGTTAATATTTGGAACTGTCACACAACAGTTCTGCATTCTACAAATTTAAATGGGTTGTAGGTTGCAAACTTGCAATGGAATAAAAGACACAGATTTGACCTTTTCAATGAGCTGTGGATTTAAAGCATTTTCTGAAATCCAGAAGATACGAGATAGCATTTGCTCAGTCTGCAATGCTTCGGCCCAAACTGCGCCTTCGCAACCTTGGAGGCACAAGGTTAACACCCTACCTTGACACATCAACAAACACTAAGGTTTAGTAGATATAAAGTCCACAGGTAAACAATCAATGATCATCAGACTTTGGTGATATCTCTTGAACTTACTAGAATGATGGAAGCAAACCACCATCAACTAACCCTATCATATAATTTTTTTCTTACACATGATACAGATAAGAACATGTCCTTCATGCCCTCATATCTAATAAGGAAAATTTGTCAAAAAATATATGTGATATAGTAAAATATAACGAAGGAAATCGAGGTATGACCAGGGTGGCTGTCTCAGCTCGGGAAACATAAGGGTCGCTTCAATTTCAGAAAGACAATCTAAGGTGAGTTTTGGACCTATAAATTCCCCTGTTCAGATCAAAGGTGCACCTCCTAAGCCTCTTCAGACACTCAATAGCATCCCTCTTTACTTTCTGTGTAAATGCCATTGATGGACCGGACTGCTGGAGCTTGGGGACAACTTCACACAATTTGTTTCCCTCTTTTGAAGATAGTAGATACAATTGTTTGGTTGTAAATTAGCTGTATGCTTCACCATCCAACTGTTGCTTCACACTACCATCTAAAATTCATTTCTAGGGTTCAAATATTTGTTTCTATGAGTTTATTGGTAAGTTCAACAAAATGAAAAATAGTAAATACAATGATTGAGCTATTAGATTACTTACAGGCTTCACATAGGCATGGCACATCATCTAGAAGCAATTGCTCCACAATCACCTTAACCAATCCATTTGTAGAGGCTATTTGTTTCCGAGTGGCTTCATGGCAAGCAAGGTTACCAATTATTCCAAGACTAATTTCCTATTACCATTAAGGAGCAGAAAATGAGGATTGAGTCCCTTTCAGGTCTCAAGAGATCCCAGCATAAGCATTGAACAGACATTACTGCTATCTATCTAAATTGTGAAAGCACAACTTCTGAAATGTGACTTACAGTAATGCGTGAGGATTGAGAAACCACAAGATTAGCCAAAAGCACCTCGAGGATAAGGTTTTGAATCTGCACATGTAATTGTAACTTTTAAACTCAAGCGAATATCATGGAAACTATATATACACAATAGTTCAAACTCTATCAATGATTATGGCTTTTAAGTCCACTTCTGTCGAGCTATTTAAGCCACAAAGACGTGCAAACCAGCCCAGATTGTATGACAAAGTCCAAAATTACCATAAATTGAGCATGGTCTTCACCTGCTGCAAGATCCCATAAGACACAACCACACTCCTCCCACGTGTCTTCTACTTTTGACCTACCTTGTTGATCATCAATTTTCTGGTCAGGGCCTTCTAGTTCCCCTAAGCGTTCAGTGGAATCCATTGCTTCAGCTTCTCCTCCATTTTCGGGTACTTCTTCTGCCTTCGGCTCTTCACAAATCAAACCACTTCCAATAGCTTGATCCCCATATTGTACATTTGAAGGTATAAGTCTTCTTATCATAGATATCACATAACTTGGATCAACAGTTGTTGAAATGTCAAATAACTGCATATGAAAGTAGAATCAATTTGCTAAAATAATCCACCCAAGGGAATCAGGTTCATCATCCAAAAAATTAACAACCATAATACTATGGAAAAATGACAATAACCAAAATCCATAAGTCAGAGAAATCAAACCTAATTCACATTTACTTAGTGTGATTTTGTTGAACAAATTCCCATTAATCACATATTCACTTCAATTGATATAAGCACATCATCAAAAACAATGTGATTGGTGGACAGAAGTTCAACACTGCTCCAAACAAATGAGCAAGCCTAAATTAATTTTATCAATCCAGGGGGAAAAAATAATGTGTACAGTAGCCTAATACAACTCAAATTTCTAGGATTTCTTTATATTAAAATTAAAAAACCTAAAGACATGTTTCCTGGAGTTATTTTCCTGATTATTCAATTACGCAAATCTTGCTCCAAAAACATTACACCCAAGCCCTAAAAATATACATATATATACAAAAAGAAGACGTCTCTCTAATGGAGAATTAATCAAACTGTTGAATTGAAATGCGTGAAATTAAATCGTTCCAAGAAGATACATTTCAGAAGAATAGGAATTAAACAGGGCAAAATGCGAGATATATAGAACAGACCTCGTGCGGCGGGGCGGAAGGGTGATGAGCAGGAGGTGAAGGTTGAAATCTTTGGTCTTCTTCTTCATTCCCTTGAGAGATGGACATCGACACGGGCATGGTTGTTGATGATTTAAGGGTTTTGAGCCAAGACGGGTTCCCTTTGTTCGCTGCTCGAAGTTTCCCGCTACGCTTTCTACTAGCGATTTTGTTGATGGCAATCAGCCGTTGATTTAATCAGTGGATTTGACATTAATAATCGTCCGATATTAATTGTTACGAGATAAAATAAACGATATTTATATGTTATTTTTTTAAAATACTCAATTTTATTATTTTTTATTTAATTTTTTTTAAAATTTTTATTATTAATTACTCTCTCTTTCAGAAAATATATCTTATGGAAAATAAGCACGTGAATTAAAAATAATAGTAAAGTGAGTATAAAGTGAAAATAAAAAATTAAAATATCTTTATTTTTTGAATAATTTAAAAAAAAATGTTAAAGTAATAATTTAATTTGAAAAAATAGAAATAATTTTGTTATAAAATAGAGATTATAATTACTAAATAGAAAAACAAAGATAATTATTTTGGGACGGACGAAAATATAAAAACAAAACAACTATATTGGACGGAGTATTAAAAATCATAAAATAGTATTTATTTTTAGTTTTTTAAAAATTGAAAAAAATATTTTTATCGAAGAATTATAATAATAATTTTTTATTTAAATAGTGTAAAATATAAAATAATTATTATGTAATTATTGACTAATTTATTCTATTTTATTTGTTTTAATATAAAATTTATATAATAAAAAATATATTAATAAATTATTAATATTGTGTTTTCTATTTGATTTAATTTTAATATATTTATATATTTTACAAATAAAATAATTTATATATAATAATTAATAATAGTAATTATATTAAATTTATAAAAATAAAAATATAATTCAGTAAATAAAATAATTAATGAATATGGAATAAAAATATATTTATATTTATAAAATGATTCTTAAATTTTAAGGAAAAAAATAAATTAAATTAAATTTTTAAAAAAAAATTCTAAAAAGTTGTGTGTTTCTTTTTTTATATAAATTAATAAATAATACTCTCTCTATGATATAAAAAAATAATAATAATATTTTATGTGAATTTGACTTTCTTTTGTTTTTTTGTTATGTAATTTGTATGAATTATATTTTATTTTTTCTATCCATCTAAGTCAAATGCAATCATATTTTCGTCTATTTAATTTAAATACATCCATTTTTTTTAATACCTTTACACTTTATACAACATTATAAATCATATCAAAAATAAATAAATTTAAGGAAAAATTATTTTTTTATTATACTGCTACCTATAAAATAATAATATAGTAAAATTCACGTGAAAAAAGAACAAATAAATACATATGACTCGAATAAAAAATAATATTTTCTTCGTCCCAATACAATAGTCTTGTTTACCATTTGTTTTCGTCCCAAAACAATAATCTCATTTTCATAAATAATAATATCACCGTAAAATTATCATTACTTTTTCATTATTATTACACAATTGCCACTATTTTTACACTAATATACTCACAAGGGCAAAAAAGTCATTTATCCTTACTTTTTACCGACTATCAATATAATATCAATATTCTTTAAATCTCATACACAACAAGACTATACTTTTGGAATAATTGTAGTAATATTTATCAAAGTTAAGTGGATTATCTTTTGGTTGGGCAAACATACTAAAATTTTATTTTATTTAAAATCAAATTAATTAATTTTAATATCAATCATAACTTATTGTTGATTTCAAAAAAAAAAAAAAAATAATATATTTTTATTAAAACAATGAATATATTATAAAAAAATATTATTTTTATATTATTTACACAATTTTTCGTATCTCATATAAAAAATATCAAAACAAAGACGTTCAGGGGATGACCTGGTGATGATTCAGGATAGAATCGTATGGACCAATATATTATCAAAATACAATTTTATTTTGTTACTATAGTTTATAATTTTTTAGGTTTATGTTTTGATAATGTATTTTAACTATATATAAATTTTTTTATATACTAAATTTTGGATTGAAAATGATGTTGGATGAAAGAAAAATGTGTTTTACATAAAATTTTATGCTTATATGATAAAATAATTGAAATAAAATTTCAAACTAAATAGACTTAATATATATATATATATATATACAATCATACGAATTTACAAACTAAGATATCTCAATACAGAATTATAAAGTAAAAAGATAATAATAATGATAAAATAATTATATATTTTAATTAAATTAAAAATTAAAGATATTTTAATATAAATTTATAATTATTTTTATTAAAATTGAAAAAAAAAAAAATAGTATGACAAACCAAAACAGTAAAAAAATTTTTAAATTGGAACAAAAAAATAAAATACTCTCTCCGTCCTAATACAATAGTATTGTTTACAATTTTAGTCCGTCCTAAATAATAGTCATTTTTATTATAAAATTGTCACTACTTTTTACAATAATACACTCACAAAGACAAAAAAAATCTTTTACCCATACTTTTTACCGACTACTAATATAATATTAATATTTCTTAAATTTTCTTATTCAACCCAATTAATACTATATTTATAGGATAGAGGGATTATAATTTCAATAATATATACAAATATTGCAAATCACGTATCGTCACACTAGTTTATATATATAAACAAATAAAGCAATGGAAAGGCATATGAAGCAATCAGTATATATATATATATATATATATATAGCTGCAATAATTGTTGACTAATTAATCTTTACTGTGAATTAATTGAAAAGGACGAATCCATAATATGACAGACTTTCGTGCAATTATTGAACTAATTTGTTACACGCCCAATTAAAGAATATTCTATTATTAATTAAAGATAAAAAAATTTAAAAAAATAAAAATAAAAATAAAAATGTACATATTGATATTTATATATCAATAATATATTATACTAACTTCCAATTGGTCCCCAATGTCATTTTAATAAACATACAAATATATATATATATATATATATATTTATAGAGTACTTGAATATTATAGATGTTTTTGTTTACAAAGTTAAATTTTTTCAATATATAGTAAAACACTAATATAGAAAATTGGATCACATGTTTTTATTTTAAAAACCTTTTACAAAAATAGTAAGTTTGTTACTAGTGGGCCCCACCCACTCATATAAGAACGTGTTTGGTAACTTTATTATGAAATCTAAAATTAAAAAGACCAAAAATTTAATATCATAAATATCAATTTTGGTCTCATTCAAAAAAAAAATTATCAATTTTGGTCTCACTCAAATGAAAATTTTTAGTTCCAACATGGTTGACTGGGGCTGAACACGACCGTGTCGGATGACTCAGAAGGTGACTGGGCGTCTCATGCAGCCAACACGGTCGTGTTGATTACCCTGCACTTCTAAACACCGTGTTCCTACCCGTACCCGTGTTCTGAACACAACCATGTTCATGTCAACCATATTTTAGGCCATGTTCCTGCTCATATTCTCAACATAGTCATGTTTTAGGCCATATTCACGACCATGTTTTCAATATAATTATATCGTAGGTCATATTTATTATTATTCACTTTTTGGTTAAAATTATTTGAGATATATATATTTATAATTCAACAAAACTATTTTTTACATTTATTTCATAATATAAAAAATAATCAATTTTTAATATTTTTAAAATATATAAAAATAATAATATATTAATATATATTTTTAATAATATTCATTTCATCCCATTTTCTATGTTCACGTTATCATTATATCAAAACAATTGATATATTAGAATACTATTTCTTTTTTAAAAAAATAATTTGTAAATGGTAAAGATATCTTTAATATTTGATAATTACTACCATTATTAAAAAAGAATAAAATATTTTCTTTTGAAACTTTTTCTAAAATGATTTTATGTTAATATAAACAAATAAATTATTTGTATAATATTAAATTTTATTTTTTACAAATTGATATTTGTATTATATATTCAATTGAAATATAAATTTTAAAATATTTAAATATATTTTAAATTTCTTTTGATTATATATTAATTTTAATTTAAAAAATAGTAACAATACTATTCACCTAAAAAAATCAATAAAATAATATCATAATTCACTATCATTAATTTATTAAATTTTATTTATTTAAAATAATAAATCACTAATTAAACATAATTCACTATCATTAATTTGGGACGGAAATGTATAAAAAACAAAAATTTAATGGATATTTTTGTAAAACTAAATTAATACTCCCTCCAACATCTAAGACTATATCCATTTAATCGATTACGAATTTCTTAAAAAATGAGTAAAAATTGAATTTTTTTTTCTATTGTAAAAAAGTTGAAAAAAATAATACTACATTTTTTTAAAAAAACAAAAATTACTTTTCCGTTCCACTCACATTTTTTATTTTTGTTTGTTCCACATATTATATCATTTTTCTAAAAAAAATATATATTTCATTTTATCATATTTTAAAATTTAAAATTTTTTTATTTTTATTAAACTAATATATTTTTAGTTATTTACTAATTTTTTTAAATTTTCGTATCTACAGTAATGATACGATATCAAAGACAGAAAAAAAATTGAAAAAAATTCCAATAAAAAGAGTGTGTTTCTTTTGATTAGTTTAAAAAAATTAATTTAAATTTGATATTAAAATAATATTTGATGAGATATTTATAAAATATATATATATATATATATTTATTTGGGAAACTCATAGACCAAATAGTAAAAAAATTGAAATTTTGGGTAAATAAACAAATCTCTTTGTTGTGTTCCCAAACCTCCCGAGAAAAGCGGGGCCCACTTCAACTAATTACGTCTCTTCCCTAACAAACTCTCACACTTCTTACCTCAAAGCTACAATAATCTCATTCCTTTCATTTCCATACACTTCATCCATTTGTTCTTTTAATACATTACAATATTTTTAATAAATTAATAATTATTATACTCCTTTTTTTTTTTGTCCCAGTATATATTTATTTATTTATTTTTAATAAAATTTAAAAAATAATAATATTTTATTTAAAATATAAGGACAAACTTGTTCTTATTTTTGGTAAATAAGATAATAATGTGATAGTAAAATAAGAGTATTTATGTAAAATAACGAAGTAATAATTACTAAAAAAAATATATATTCCACCGTCTCATATCTATTTATCCATTTATTTTTTGTACGAAGTTTTAAAAATATTAGTATTATATTAAAATATAGTATAAATAAAGTAGAAAAGACTAAAATAACCTTATTAGTATTGTGTGATATAAAAGTAATGACATTTATGTAATATATTGTAAGTTGAAGGAGTATTTCTACTACTTAGACAGATCAAAATAGAAAAATAAATAGATTGTTAAGAAACGAAAAAAATATATATGTTAACATGGGACAAACGGAAATAGAATTTGTATATGTTAAGGCGGGACAATGAGAATATTTTTTAATAAGTTATTTTAAAAAATACTTCATATGTCCGGCAAATTAATGTAAATTTATTTGGACACGAAAATTAAAAACTAATATTCCCTCCGTCCCGCATTAACATATACTGTATATTTTTTTTATTTTCGTATGTTTCACCTTAAGGTATATATTTTTATAATAATTATAACTCCACCATTTTATATAAATACCTCTATTTTACCTTAACATAATTATTTATTAATATAATTATTTTTACACAACTTTAACTATTCACTTTAATTGAAATATTATTATTTTTTAAATTCTGCACCAAAAGTAAATGTAAGCAGAACGGATGAAGTAGTATTTTAATATTAAAATGACATAAACAAAAATGTAAATTAAGGGTATTATGAGAAATTTATTAAAAAAATGTATAACAATATAATGGGGTAAATTGAAAAAAAAAAAAAAGAAAAGTGACAAATTAATTATTATTTATTAAAATATCAATTATAAAATTATAAGTAGATAAAATTATTTAGCTGACAAAAAAAAAATAGTGATATAATTTTTAACAGATGGATGAAGTAATACTTCATTCAAATAATTATTAATTGAAAAATGATAAAGATAAAATTGTAGTTATGATATATTTAAAAATTTAATTAGTAATTAATTAAGGATGATGAAGAAATAATGTAATAAAGATAGTGATAATTGTAGTAAATAAGTGATGAATGAGGGATAATAATTAAATATTAACATTTTGATTTTGCCAATATTAGTAATGAACTAAATTAATAGACCGACAAAAGAAATACGAGTAAATTTGACGGAGGGAGAAAATATTTTATATTGAACATCAACTTTTTATGAAAAAATTAAAATATATTGACTTCGTCTGGTATATCATGTAGATTTGGTTATAGTTGGAAAGATACTGTATATTGAAAATTTTATGTCATACCCATGATACCGTATACCATACAATAAATACTGCTATAAAAGAACATTATACTGATACCGTACTAAATCATTTAGTATACCGTAAACGGTATAACGACGATTTTATGGTATAAATTTTTTCATATCAATTATGTACTGATATTTCAACATACCTTATTGATTTTTTGGTATCCATATATCATACCGAAAATTAATATATCAAAATTAATCATATACCGAAAAATTATTGATATACCAAAAAAACAAAAATAACTAAGAATGATCATAATTAAAAATAATATTAATATAAATATAATAATTTTATTTACTTTTGTAAATAATTAATTTTTAAACAAATTAGTATTTTATATACACACATTAACACAAGCATATATATATATCCTCCGTTCACTTTAAAAAAAAATAATTCAACAAAAAATAGCAAAATACAACAATAATATAATAAAAATTGGCTCTGTTCACGCACACGTTTTTAAGATGAATAAAATTTGTAATGTGTGGTATAAAGAATTGTATCATAAATATAAAATATATTATTTTAAATTAAATATTTGACTTTTTATTTTTTGTAAGTAGTATTTGAATTTTTTTTTTTTACTTTTTGAATTTTTTTAAAAAAAGAAGTTTATATTGTTTATTAGTGTGTCAGTCCTTTAACAAAGTATCAATTTCTCTCTCCAGTCATTCTACTTAACGTTAAAAATATTATTATATTTATATAATATTTTATACCTATGTTATTATATTTGTATTATAAAAAAATTAATAAAGGTATTTTCAATTTTTTTTCTTTTAATTTGTGCTTTGTAGAAACATAATATTAATATTTAAAATTTAACATCCAAAAAATAAATAAATTTATGATTAGAGGACGTAATGAATATTACTTTTAGGAAATTGCAATTACAAAATCGTATTGAAAAAATAAAGTGAATATATAAATTATTAAAATAGTGTGGTCCACAATTTTTTTATTTATTTAGAGTTTTTTTTTTACCCAAATTTTCTCAAAATTTATTATTTGAATTTTGTATTTCTCTAAAAGATATATATACATTTTTTTCTTTTACAAAATATCATATCAAACATTATTTTAATATTAAACGCAAACAAATTTTTTTCAAATTCAACCCAAAAACACTCTAAAAAAAAATTATACAAAAAATAAAATAAATGATAATATTAAAATTAGAGTATGTTTCTTTTGATATAGTTTGCAAATTTTGGTTTAAATTTGCTATTAAAATAATGTAAAAGGAATGTTTTTGTTTAAACTTTGAAATTTGAGATTAAAGAAACAAAGAACGATTATTATTACTTATATATTGGAAAAAAAGGGGCCTCACTATTAAAAAAAAATAATAATAAATAAATAAATAAAAAAAAATGGGAAAAAAAAAAAGAAAAAAAGAAGGAGAACAATCCACGCAAGCTGTCCTCAAATCCCTCTATATATATCTTAGATTATTAGTGTTATAAACTACTCTTTGCTTCCTATCCTCCCCTCCTCCCCTCCTCCTTTTCCTCCTTTTTTTTTTTTTTTTTTTTTTTTTCATTTCACCAACCCTGCTTCCCAAGATTCAAAATAATACAGTAATAAAATTATAACGGTTTGAACCGGCGGTTCACAGGTTGGCAAAATTACAAATCGAAATCGGATGATATTTCGGTTTCGATTTGTGTCCGATTTTGGCTCAAACCGTAATCGCCGGTTCGAAAAGTAACTATTGTATAGTTAGCGAGTCGACTCCCTCCGTCTATATATATATATATATATATATAGCTACAAACCCCTTTTTTTCGTCTAGATTCAAATCCAACTCCTAAATTATTCTATCTCCCTCCTCCGACGCCCACGAAGCATATTCGGTCGTATTTTTGCTAACCGTATAGCATGGTATCCTGCTGTTGTCGGAGCGGTTAGGGGGCTGTATGCCGAAATCGACGACGGCGCATTCCAAATCCACAGCCCCTTTTGATAGTCGTCGTTGCTCCGTCTTCATAATCCCCACAATCATCTTTTTCTACACACATTGGATACATCGTTTCAGCGCCTTGAATCCGCTGGCACCTTTCGATTCCGCCGTCCATAATTTCCTGTCGGAACCGTCGCGGCACAGAGGACTGGAATTTCCGAGATCGAGAGTATTCCGATCGCTTTGGACGTAAATTTCTTCGATGGCAGCGGCGGCAAATTCCGCGAAGCAGAGTGGTGAATATGTCTCTGTATTTTTGGCTTCGGAGATGATAAAAGAGCTTCCGCCTTGGCGTTGCGGACATTGCATTCGCTCAGAGTGTTTGGATAAATGGTTATCGACTCAGTCGATTTGCCCACTGGGTCGTACATCGCTTCGAGTTAATTCATCGGTACGACTTGCCTTACATCGTATCGCATCGGCTTCTAGAAAACTCTAGTTAGTTTGATTGGAGGTAAGCTTATATTATACTGCTAAAACTAAGAATTTTTTTTATTATATAATTATCCGGACAAAAAGAGTAATGGTTAAGTGTGATATTTTATATAAAAAAATAGAAATTAAAATGATATTTTAATAGAAAAAATTGAAAATTGAAATAAAGTAAAATAAAATAAGTGAATGTTATTTTGAAAATTACAGTTAAAAATTTCTCGTTGGCTATATAATGTAGGTTGTATCATCAATCAAAATCGGCTTGAATCGAAGAGTTTTCTAGAAGCCAATCCGATCCGAGGTGGGTCATATCGGTGAGTCAACTTCAAGTGATGTACGACATAGTGGACAAATCGACCAAGTCGATAGCCATATGTCCATACACTCCGAGTGAAAGTAGTGTCCGCAAGGTCAAAGCGAAAGCACTTTTATTCTCTCTGTAGCCAAAAATACACCGAGACATATACAACACTAAGCTTCATGGAATTCGCCGTCGTCGGCGGAGAGGTTTTCATACAAAATGGTCGGTAAATTCTCGATGCCGGTGAGGTCTAGTCCCCTTTGTTGCGACGGTTCCGGCGGGAAATAATGGACGACGGAATCAAAAGGTGCCAGCGGATTTGAAGCGCTGAAATGACGTATCTAACACGTGTAGAAGAAGATAATTGCGGCGATTATGAAGACGGAGCAGATGATGCCGATGTAAAGGAGCACTTGGATGTGGATTTGGAATACACTGTCCTCGATTTCGGCGTATGGCCCCCTAATTGCTTCGGCAATGACGGCGATCCCATGCTTTACGGTTAGTTATAATACCATAGAGATAGAGGAAAGAATAATTTAAGAATTGAATTTGAATTTAGATCGAAAAATGTGTTTGTAACTATATGTATAGACCGAGGGAGTATTACTCCGCAAAGCTAGTATATATACCAAATTTATTCTTTTTTTTTTTTTTTTAGTTCATTCACTAAATTTATTCTATTAATAATTTTGACAAAGTCAATAAATTAATATTTAATTAACACTTATTTACAACAAATACTATTAATTTTATTACATTTTTTCTTTTTATTTTACTTTTTAACTAAATTTTTAAAAATACCTCAAACTACAATCACTTTTTTCAATAAAATATATTTTTTTTAATTCTCATGCCAGGTCAATGAACTAATTTTAATGAACGGAAGAGTATATATAATATATATATAGGTGTGTTTGTTGTAAACAAACATATGGATATAGTTCTCATCTCATCAAATGGATTTTTATTTTACCAATCAATATATAAATATATAAATATGAAATATGATCAATATTAATATAATCTATCAATAAAAATGGAACACAAACAATCAATAAAACCGAAAAAAATGTAAAAACATGTTTGTAGCTATATATATATATATATATATATATATAGAAGGAGTCGATCCGCTAAGTATACAATAATTATATTTTACGAATTAAATACGTACAAAAAATAAACAAATATTTATACATTAGAAGTAATAATATTGATAAATATAATATATACTATCTTCATCCGGCTTCGAGGATTTTATTTCCTTTTTGCGTGTTAATATTTGAATATTAATTATTATATCAAAACGTAATATAAATTTAAAAAAATTGCAAAAAAAGTTCTAGTGTTTTACCATACTAATAGAATGATATTTGTAAAAAAAAATCATACAAATATAAATATATTTTAAATATTAAATACAACGACATAAGTAAATGTGACCCTTAGAAACCAACGGAGAGAATATATAATATGTATATTGATTGAGACGGGCCAATTAGAAGTAATAATATTGATAGATATAATATATGGTTGTCCAATTATATTTTTTTACTTAATTTTCAATATATATTATATATATTTCATAATTTTAAAATATTTAATATATAATATTATTTTTTATATTAATGTCACCTAATCTTAAGATGGCAAGTTCATTCGGACACACTTCTCGGACACGTGAACCCTTTTCTATCATAGTTAGATTAAATTGACAAAAACATTTGAATATATAATTTAAATATAAATAATTTTAAAATAAAACACTGAAGAAAAATGAAAAATAAATTTTACTCCCAAATATGCAATAAAGTTAGACGAAGAGGAGGAAAATTGAAAATGACAATGCATCAAAAAATAAAATAAATTATATTAAATAGAAGAAAAAGAAAAAAAAATTATCTTGTGTATCTATTTATTTTAGAAGAAATTGAAAGAATGAATGTGTTCTTTTGTGGTTTGATTTTTGGGTCTGAAATTTTAAATGGTAAAAAGTTGAATTTGAATAGTTGTTTATGTGATATAAATAGGTATTGTTTTGATATTTTAAATATAAAATTAATTTTTAGTATAATATAAAAAAATAAAAATTAATTTTTTAATTTGATATATTTAAAAGAAAAAGGAATTGTTGAGTAAAAATATATGAAAAACTCAGGCAATAAGGTATATATTAGCTGTCAATTTTGTGTATTTATAATTTTAATTTTTAATTGTATCACACAACAATTAAAAGAACACTCATTATGTTTAGAAGTTTTGAATAAAGCCAGCAATACATATCCACACTGATAGTTATAGTCAAATATTATTTCTATTATAAATTATTTAAAATCAATTATAAATTGTTCTAATTTTTTCTACTATAAGACATAACGGGTGTGTTTGTTTGGGGGTTTGGATTTTGGATTGGGATTTGAATAGTAAAAATTTTGAATTTGAATAGTTGTATGATGTGATATAAATAGGGTTTGATGTGATGTTTTGAATGTAAAATTGATTTTTAGTATAATATAAAAAATGAAAATAAGTGTTTGATTTGATGTTTTTGGGGGGAAAAAATTGGATGAATAGTGGAAATCCTCCAAAATCCTTCAAACAAACACACCCGTTATCTTTTTCTATTAAAATAATATAAATGCAATATAAAGTACTCCATTCGTTCCGGAACAAGGATCGCATTTGTTTTTTGCACGTAAATTTTTTAATATTAGTATTATAATGGATTGTAGTAAAAATGACGAAAATACCCCTATAATATTGTGTAATATAAAAGTAATAACATTTATGTAATATAGTGTAAGTTGGAAGGGTATTTATTATGTTAAGTAGGTAGTACAATTACTAAATTATGAAATAGTAACATTGTTTTGGGACGGACGAAAATAGAAAATGACAACCTTTCAATGGGATGGAGGGAGTAATATACAATATAGTCATGCACAATATATTATATAGGGATAAACAAAAACATAATATATACATATATTGACAACATATAATAAAAAAAAAAGTCATATAAATACAAATAATATACTACTTCCGTCCGGCTTTAAGGGTCTCGTTTGCTTTTTGTCATTCACTTTTTGTGTGTTGATATTTGAATATTAATTATTATGTGAAAACGTAATACAAATTAAAGAAAAATGATAAAAATACTTTTATTAGTGTCTTATTGTACTATTATAATGATATTTGTCTAAAAAATTATACAAATATAAGGATAATTTTAATGTTAAGTACAATAACGCAAAAGGTAAATAAGACTCTTAGAGTCGAACAGAGGGAATATATTCTATTAAATAAAAGCATGTAGTTGTATGGTCTTTGAATATAAATTGTGATGAAATTAATTATAGATTGTGTTCTTTTACTATGATATGTTTTATCCGATCTATTTTAACATAATATAAATACAACGGATGAACAAAAAACATATATAACAATAAAAGAAAACACATTCTATAATTGACTCATTTAACACAGCATGTCCGGACTTATATCATTTGTCCCAAATTAGAAACAAGCGGACTTAACAAATTAAAAGATACTTCATTCGTCCTATGAGAAAATATTTTAGTTTTCAGCCCAAGATTAATTAATTGCTTTAATAAAAAAATATTATATTTTTTGTATTTTTTTTTTCAAACAAACTAATTTATAGAAACTATTAATTTGTTTGAAGATTTGGATTTTGAGTTGGGATTTAAACAATACTATCTCCGTACAGCCACAAAGTATATAATAATTTTTTTTTGTTGATCTTTGAATATTAATTATTATATCAAAATATAGTACAAATAAAGAGAAAATGATAAAAATACATTTATTAGTCTCTTATAATATAAATATAATCATATTTTTGGAGTAACTACACAAATATAATGGTATTTTTAATATTAAATACAATAGTGCAAAAATATATGTTTACTTCTTGGAAGGAGGTAGTAAAAATTTTAAATTGAAATAGTTGTATGATGTAATATAAAATGAATGTTGATGTGATATTTTGAATGTAAGATTGATTTTTAAAATAATATAAAAAATAAAAATTAGATGTTTCATTGATGTATTTGGAGAATTTTTTTTGAATGAACAGTGAAGTTTTTGCAAAATCCTTCAAACAAAACACACCATCAATATTTTTTGTTCAAAGTAGCAATTTTATTTTTTTAAAAAAATATTTTCAAAAGATCTATTTATTTATATAGCACAATTTTGATTGTTATCTATTTATCTATATTTTAGAATACTATTATTAGTAAAAAAAATTATTATCAACAATTATTATTGTGCTATTATTATTGTTGTTGTTGTTACATTGTCATTTAATTACTACCATTATGTTATTTGTAATTGGTAAAAATAATATATAAAGTATATTTAATATAATGATTAATTTTTTAAAAAATTAATAATATTATTAACTATAGATATAATAATAGTATAAGATTTATAATTAAACAATGCCAAACAATTCAATAATTCATGAGATCATATTTTTAGGAAATTATTAGTAAGGAGAATGAATTTCATTTATTATGGTGCTAATATCATCTCAAATATAATTGAACACCATTTAAATATAAATGGAATTTATTTAATATATTTAATGAAGAAACTTATGCAAAGCTAGTTGTCAACCTTAGCCCACATTATTAACTAGTATGGACTGAATTTAATTTTCTTTCTTTTTTTTTTTTTTTTTTAAAAAAAAAAAAAAAAAAAACAAAAACAAAACACATTGCTTCATCAAAATAAATATTCCTTTCATCTCAAAATAATAGTTCTATTTTGCTATTTTTGTTCATTTCAAATCAATAGTTTCATTTTCATTTTTAGTAACTATCTTTCCATTTTTTTTACAAAATTATCATTATTTTTTCACAATAATTACATAAAGTAGGGTATTTTGGTATTTTAAAAATACTTTTACACCAACTATCAATATAATACTATTATTTTTTAATTCTCATGTCATTCTAAATGTCTTTATTGTTTTGGGACATAAAGAGTAATATTTTATTGAACAGTGGAAATGTGTAAGAGATTTTGACGTTTTTGTATCTTAACTTTATGTATAAATTAATTGTATATACAATGATATATTTATAATTTATGTACAAATTAACAATATTTTGATATTAGTGTATGATTATTTTTACTAAAATAGAAAATAAATACTTTTTGAATGAAAGAAAAATGATAAAAAAATACTTTAAGTTGGAATAGAGATTATATATGAAAACAAAATTACATTATTATTTTATTTTTTATATAAAATTAGTGTATGTTAATATAAATGAGAAAATACAATTTTTATTTATTTGTATTATATAATT